CCGATCCCGTTATAATAAATTCCGTTATAAAGAAAAGGAAAAAATATATTCAGAGATTCAGTGGTATCAGTTTAAGAGTAAAATATATCAATCCCAAATAAAATTTTAATATGTGTATGGTGTATGACTATTTTAGTAAGTACCATTTTGATTTTTTTGTTACTAATCACGGCCTAATAAAAAAATCATATATTTTAAATATTGCAGTAAAAAGTAAAATAAATCTTGAGTGATATATATTTTTGAGAAGCTCACAGCAAAACGGATCATATGATTTATAAATATACAGGGTGTTCCATTTGAAAAACATAACTTTAGTTCATATTTTCAAAAATATTTTTCTTTCGTAGAAAAACAGACTACGCCACTGTATTATACGTAAAAATTTCTACAAATTCGTTTACCGCATATAGGGCTCTCTCCAGTAAGTATGATTTCAGTAAGTATGATTTCAGAGCTTTGCGAAATGCGGGAAAGAATGAAAGCGACTTGATATTCAAAGGCAGATCATTGTACATTTTTTTGGCATTGTACTGTATTGAGCCTTTAACTAGTTCTGAGCTCGGGGTTGGCAGATAAAGATCGTGCTCCCATTCCTAAGTGGATAGTTGTGAGATGGCCTTTCGGGAATAGCAGATATGTGCTTGCGGATTAAGCAAACGGATTCAAAAATGAATAAAGAAGGAAGTGTCAGTATTTTGAAATTTTTAAAGAAATTCTGGCAGTGAGTTCTATTGTTCAGTCCCAATAAATATCGAACTGCTCTTTTGTATTGCTCTGCTTTAGAATGGAAGGGCATAACGAAGATGTGACTCAAAAAGGGCATAATAAGCTATTCTAGAGGTTGATAAGTTAAATTCCTTTGAAACTGATCTTAGCGCAAAACAGGCAGCGCTTAGTTTCTTTGATAAAGCTTCGATGTGTAAGTCCCATTTTAACGAGTTGTCTACAACAAGTCCTAAGAATTTCAGAATCCACGACGTCAATAGTGGTGTAAATCTGTTAAAAATGTGTAAAAATGTTATTAAGTACAAAAGGTTGTATATAGTACTTTTATATGACAAAACTTTAGTTTTTGATAGATTTAGGCATAGAAGATTAGAATCGCCCAAGATTTAATGGTGCGTAAGTCACTGGATATAGTCACAGACTAACTGATATAGTATTAGTGCCGTAACATCTGGGCCGCTCCAAGTGAAACTAGTATCGTCCTCAAAGAGGCAGATTTTACCGCTAATATGGTATGTCATAATCATTATCATTCTCAGCTTATTCAACCATTTCCAGTTGTTGTGTAGCCTCCCTCACATATTTAGAAAATATCCCTGTAATTGAGCCTATTGTTGTCTATGCGGGTCCCCGGTAGCCCTGCTAATTTCTCATGTCATTTCTCAATACCATTTTAGCCTTGGTCTTCTTCTAGGTTCCTCATTGGTATTCCTCATTTTCAATTCCTCATGAGTATCATGCTGCCATTTTTGTAGTCCTTCTGTTGTCCGTTGTCCAATTGTTATGTAGCCTCCCTTACATATTTAGATACTCTCTTTGTAGTTGAGCCCATTGTTGGCTACGCGAGCCTAAATTATCCCCTAATTTCCTAATATCATGGTCCCATCTCAGGTTTGGTCTTCTTCTAGGTCTTTGTAGGTACCATGCTGTAATTTTTGTGGTCCATCTGTTGCCCGTCCTTCTTGCCAAGTTTCCTGCCCATTGCCACTTGATGGATTTGATTCTGTGGATGACATCTATTCCACTCTATTCTTTTACGGTCTTTTTTGGTGACTTCTTCGGTGCTAATTACGCAAAAGAGACTCAAATAGGTAATTTAAGTATTAAATAAGGAAATTAAGTGTAAATCATGAACAAAAAACGCTAAGAGGAAGTACCTTTAATCGCTTTACAGCTTCGCAAGTTTATTTTATATGAACAAGCATTTATCATTCTTATTCAAAAAAGCTTATTATATTTTCTAATGCTGCTAATAGATAAACGATAAACTTGAACATGGGAATATTGTTTCCCGTTTGTTAATTCTTCGATTTTTCTTTCATTAAACAAACCTACGTTGATTTTACGTAATACAATAGTAGACAAGACCAAAGGCTGGTCGTAATTCTTATGCGTAAGGTCACGCAAGAAAACTGCATTCTCCTCGAAAATATTACATAAAATATCCGTTGTATTTATTTTTATTCGTAAGAACATTAGCAAGAAAACAAGCTTGGCTATTTTATTTTGCTCTTATATAAGGCCTAAGATATTTATCGAAGTCAGTAGCGGTCAATAAGGGAGGAACTCACGCAAGGCAGGAAATAGACAGTTCTTGCTGTAAAAAACGAAGTTATACAAGATATACCAAACCTGAATACTTATACAGGGTGGTCAGAATTGTAATCGGGAAATTTCGTAAAACATATTCTGTAGATAAAATAAGTTAAAAAGTTCGTGAAGAAATGAATTCATGTCCTAAAATACTTCGTTTTGGAGATATAGGGTGTAGAAGTTTCATTTTTATTTGTTTATTTTCCAAATAATTTCTGAACCAAAGTCGATATTTGGATGAAAATTGATGTCTGTTTTTTTATATGAGAAATTCTATTTCGATGTCAGCGAGGATGTCAGTATATGTATGACATACTTTTTTAACTATTTCGAAGGGTAATAACTTTTCGTCCGTACTTGTATTACACTACTAAGGGAAAAAATATGCATATCCACTAATTTTTCCGTAAAAAAAGGTCTCTAGGTAAAAATCGCTACGAGCAACCATTCGCAAGATATTTAGAAGATGGTTAAAAAACAAATTAATGTATACGGTTGTCTAATATACATGTCTAGGGGGAGGAATACAACCTTCTCGGTTCCGCCACTGGTCTTAAAGTACCTGCGGCTATGCGAACGCCATCGTTATTGCAAGAGCGTGACATCATATTTGGGTGTGATCGCTCCAAACCACTTTTGAACCGTACAGGTGAACAAACGCTATTTTATTATAATTTAAATATTTCTGTAAAGATACTGCTGGCTCTTTTCTTAAAGGACTGACTTGAGTGTGATGAATCGCATGATGTGATTCCAACTATTCTAATGGGCGTTTTTAAGAAGCGCATTTTTCCTTGTCATCTGATCCATGATCTGTGCGTAGATAAAAATGTGTAAATTATTTCGCGCGGACTGTCTAACGCCGAGAAGGCGTTCACCGGCAAAATATTGATAACTCTTGATCTAAGGGTGTTAGGAATAGGGGATGGGCAATGATTTTACATATCGATAAGTATCGATACTCGATATATCGATAACTATCTGTAATTATCGACATATTGATAACCAAAATATATTGATAGGTGAATTGCGATACTTATCGATATGTAAAATCCATTATCGCCCATCCCTAATTAATACATGGATAGTATGGAGGCTTAAAGCCCTCCATAATGGATAGGTAACGATATATCGAGAAGTATCGATATATCGGTAGTTGTAGATATATCGATAGGTATCGATATATCGGAAAAAATCAAATCTCTTGTTAGAAAAACACTGTACATATCATGCTCAAATAAGAATTCTATCTGAAAAATTCTGTCGATTTGATTAGTGCCATACACAAAGACACTAAATTTTAATTTTATAATGTGAGCCGTTCTTGTAATAAATCGATAGTGTTGTTATTTTGAGTTATCCTATATACATGGTCTCTCACCTGTGGTATATTTATGAAAATATTTTTAAATGGGCCCTACCATTGCTCGTATATTTTATAAAAAAAGAACACAATATACAGGGTGGTCCGAACTGTATTCTGGAAACTTCGGCTGCATATTCTCTAGATAAAAATAAGTAAAAAAGTTCGTATAAATGTATGTCCTAAAATGCTTAGTTTCGGAGATACAGGGTGTAGAAATTTCATTTTTATTTCGATTTTTTCCGAATAATTTCTGAAGTAACGTCAATATTTGGATGAAAATTGGTTTCTGGGAGTTTTTTGACACGATGAATTTGATTTTGATATATAACTCCTACTTGTAGAGGGCGCCACCTACATATTTTTAACTGGTTTGAAGATTAATAACTTTTCGACCGTACCTGTATAAAATTACCGAGTAAAAAAATATATATTTAAGACGTTTTTACTCAAAAATCGCTACGAGTAATGGTTCTCGAGATATTTGGAATCGAAATAATTATCAATACATCTCATCATTGAAAGACATTAAATATGTTGACTAAATAGTTATTAGACTGAAATCATAAATTTGAAATGTTTTTGTGCCAAAAGTTCAACAGAAACTGTTTTATTAAAAAATTTATGATTAATTTAAAAAAATTATAATTTCCCAAATTAATATCATTTCAGTCAAATAACTATCTACTCAACATGTTTCTTTTGTGTCAGTAATGACATGTATTGACTTTTTGCATTATAAATATCTTGAGAACAATTATTACTCGTAGAGATTTTTACCAAGAGACCTTTTTTACGTAAAAATCACGGAAATGTATATTTTTTCACTCAGTAGTTTTATACAGGTACGGAAGAAAAGTTATTACCCTTCAAAATAGTTAAAGCACATGTAGGTGGCACCCCCTACAAATAGGAGTCATATTGACATCAAAATCAAATTTATCATGTCAATAAACTTCCAGACACCAATTTTCATAAAAATATTGACGTTACTTCAGAAATTATTTGGAAAAAATCGAAATAAACATGAAACTTCTACCCCCTGTATCTCCGAAACTAAGCATTTTAGGACATACATTTATACGAAGTTATTTACTTATTTTTATCTGCAGAATATGATGCCGAAGTTTCCGGAATACAGCTCGGACCACCCTGTATATATTTTTTATCTCTTTGTAAATTTTATGCTTTTCTTACATTTTTGTTATTGTTGATTTTATTATTATTCTTTTTATAATCTACTAGAATTATGATTATTCTAAGTTAATAGTCATTAATATACAAATAGATATAAAAAATTATCTTGTTTTTCCAGATGTATCATCGATTTTGCCTGTTGCTGAGTATCCTAGTGCCATTACTCACATCAGGACAATCTGCCAATTTCGTACCATGCTCAGAAATATCCCCAGAACTCAGATTTCCATGCAAATGTGCTCTGGGTCCAGTCGAAAAGCAACTGGACGGTAATCCCTCGTTATCAGTTAATTGTGACAACACTGTATTCCCGTACGACGCTTTTGTCTTACCTTATGGAGCACCGGTCACAAATTTTAGTCAAAAATGGGCCGGATACCAATCCCTACCCAATCAGGTAAGCATTTAGACTACCCTGGTTATTTTAATTTAAACTTAACATTATTTTATTATTTTTAGTTGTTTGCTTCAAGTTTACCTCTACGTAGCATAGATCTGTCAGGTAATTCTTTACGGAAATTGACAGAACGTATGCTCCAAGCAGTTTCCACATCTCTAACTGAACTAAAACTAGCGGAAAATCTACTGGGCGATACCCTAAATCCTATATTTTCGACTAGCGAATTTAGAGGGCTGAAAAACATGCGATTGCTAGACTTGCAAGGCAATGGCATCAAGGCTATAGAGGAGGGCATTTTTGAAGGCTGTGACAGTCTAGAGGTACATGTCGCTTAATTTCTTTTTTATTCGTTTAAAAATTACAAAATGTGTACTTATTCTGTTTTCAACCAATAATTTAACGTGTTCTTATCCATATAATTTTCTATATTCTTGCTAACTCTTCGTTATGAATCAGGCCTTAACACTAAAAAGAATATAAAGATAATTATAAATGGTTTTATTATTAAGTGGGACAACTCTAGGCTATACAATCCAGTAGACCTTTTTGCAATGGCTGTTTATTTGAATAAAAAAATATATCTATATTTAAACACTATCGATATTTTTTCAAATATCGATACATTTTATACATCCTTACTTTATTATCAGAAATTAAGAATACTAAAGTTTACATTTTTTCCATCTTATAGATGTATAAATATATCGATATTTTTAAAATATTGATGTTTAAACACTACCGATATTGTTAAAATACCGATATATTATACATCCCTACTTTATGACCAAAGCCATGACCATTGTTTTTTTTTTGACCATTTGTTTATGACCATTGCAATGGTTGTCTATTTCAATTTATAAAAAATTAAAAATAGAGATGTATAACAATATCGATATTTTTAAATATTGATATACTTTATACATTCCTAATTTACGATCAGAAATTTGAAATAAAACTTATTCCGTTTTATTATATATTTTTTTGGCATTTTAGAATTAAAATCAAATAATTTTCTGTAAACAAATTCAAAAATTAATCAGATAATCAATTGTTTATAGTTGTAGGAATTGTATCTCTATCACGTCACTTAATAACACAAAAGCCCTAAAAGTATTATTAGACCATTTTGTAATGGTTGTCTATTTCAATTTATAAAAATTTACAAATAGAGATGTATAGCAATATCGATATTTTCAAAATAGCAATATTAAAATTATCGATAACAAAACACTATCTATATTTTTTAATATCGATAACAAAACACTATCGATATTTTTTAATATCGATACATTTTACATCTTTACATTTACATCCCTACTTTACGATCAGAAATTTGAAATAACTACTTATTCCGTTTTCACTTATTCCGTTCATCATTTAATTTTTTCTAATTCAGTAATTTTAACTAATTCAATAATTAATCTTTTTGGTTATATTGGTAGGAGCTGTATCTAGATAAAAATGAGTTTATAACTGTACCAAGTACATCATTGAATGGTCCAAAAGCCCTAAAAGTGTTATCCCTTAGTAACAATAACATAGGTAAGTGTTTAAAATACATATATTTTTCTAATTTTGACATTTAAAGTGACGCTTTTCATAATACTTTGCCGTTTTTAAAGATGTTTTACTTCGCAATTAGTCAGGAAATATTTTCTCTTTTCCGCTAGTGATAACTAGTGATGAAATAAATAATTCCTCACTAGTCGCTTAAAAAAATAAACATTTTTTAGATCATTTATTACGACATACACCTTACAAGTTTAATCATGCATTGTTGCCAAAAAAATATTCCCCATTTTAAGGGATTTTCGTAATAATTTACTAATAATTAATATATTTTTTTAGATAGTATTAAACTAAAATCATTCACATCCCAGTCGAGTTTAGAAATGGTCGATCTAAACAACAACTTAATATCCTCGATAGAAAGCGGAGCGTTTTCAAATTTGCAAAAAATCCGAGTTCTAAGATTGTCTCGCAACCGTTTGGCGAAATTCAACAGCGATATATTCTACGGAGCAGAAAACTTGGTTCGACTCGACTTGTCCGAAAATTTCATCATAGATTTTCCAACCATAGCTTTGAAAGGATTTGATAATTTGAGGCAGCTGAACTTGTCGTCCAATCTGATTCAAGTAAGTTTTTTTAACACAAAATTTTTGAAATGTTTTTACACATATATTTTTCAGAATTTGGATAATAATAATTTAGTGTACCTCTCCAATTTATACGATTTGGACTTGAGCAGAAACAATTTAGCCAACATAGTCCCAGGAACGTTTCTCGGCTTGAAGCAACTGAAGAAACTGGACTTGAGCGTTAATTCTCTAAGAACTGTACGTATATAATAAAACCAGTATCTTCTGACTTCAATTCTATATATTCCAGGTTGAAGATGATGCTTTTGAAGGTCTGGACAACCTGGAACACTTAAATCTCAAAGACAATAACATCCTGCTGATACCTGCTTCAGCTTTAGGTAGACTACCTCACGTCTAACATCACTCCAAATGGACTATAATAGAATAGCAGCTCTCTCAGGCGACATACTTCGTTCAGTAGCTGATAAAGTGACTCATTTAGTTATATCCACCAACGTAGTAAGAGAACTACCTGGAACCACGTTCCAGTACTTCAAAAACCTCATCTCGCTTGATCTCAGAAGAAATTTGATAGTGAATTTGAACTCAGATTCGTTTGTGGGCTTGGAAGAAACTTTACAAGGGCTGTATTTGTCTCAAAACCGTATCATGTCACTGTCCGGAAATACTTTAGCTTTGCGCAAACTCCAGAAGCTCGATTTAAGCGATAATCATCTCACTGAACTACCTGGTACTTCATTTAACCTGCTGTATTCGCTGAAGAACCTAAATCTAAGTCATAACATCCATTTGACGAATATTCACGATAATCTGTTACATGAATTAGTTAAATTGGAAGTCCTGGATGTAAGCTACTGCGGATTGAAAGCTATCTCTTCAGAACTCTTCCTGAAATCGAATTCCTTGAAAGAAGTGTACTTAAACCATAACTCCCTATCAGAAATCGTCGATAACTTATTTGTTAACATGCCAAACTTAACTGTCATCGACTTGTCCTACAACAACATCAGCAGCATCAAACAATCTGCTTTTGCCTTTATCATGAACATAAAAGTTCTGAACTTAAGAGGAAACCAATTGACTTCTTTCAAAGGGGAATATTTCAACACCGGTACTAGTTTGGAAATTCTAGATATATCAGAAAACCAACTCAGTTACTTGTTCCCCTCTTCCTTCAGAATTCATCCGAGATTGAAGAAAATACTTGCAGGGAAAAATAAATTCAACTTCTTTCCCGCTGAGCTGATTGCAAACTTACAGTTTTTGGAGTACATAGATTTGTCATTTAACGAACTAAAAACTATCGATGAGCTGGACTTTGCCAGGCTTCCCAGACTCAGATCACTGGTTCTGAGGAACAACAGCCTGGAGACTTTGAGCGAAATGGCTTTCCATAACAGCACCCAGCTACAAATTTTGGATTTGAGCAATAACAAACTGGAACGATTAGGCGAAAGAACTTTCGAGGGTTTAATAAGACTTAAAAACTTGAATTTGGAGAATAACAATTTAGTTGACTTGCCAGAGAACGTATTTGAACGCGCACGTTTACAAATGCTGGAAAATATTAACTTGAGCAAAAATAAGTTCGATATACCGCCATTGAAGGCATTGCAGAAGCAGTATTTCTTCCTGGACTCTGTTGATTTGTCTCATAACAACATCGTAGATATTCCTCCAGAAGATGGAATAATGGTAAACATAAAGAAACTGGATCTATCTTACAACCCGTTATCTCAACAGGCAGTGGATAATATTTTTAGCGAACCAAAAACGGTGAGGGTACTAAATCTTGCAGGAACCGGCACCAGCGAAGTAAGCAGGTTAGAAACTCCCTTCTTGAAGAAGTTGAACCTTTCTAATAATAACATATCTTCCTTGATGGATAAAACTTTCGAACGTACTACTTTGCTGGAAGATTTAGACTTGTCGGGTAATGAACTGTTCAGCATCTCTGGATATTCTTCAATTTGGAGGTTTTTGCGGGATTTAAAATCTCTAAACATCTCAAATAATCCCATCGAGTTCATTTCCAGTGATGATTTCACTGGTTTGAGCAAACTTAGACATTTCAGTCTGCATTCTTTGAGTGAGTGTACTAAAATTGAGAAAAGTGCGTTTAAGTCTGTGGGAAATTTAGTGGCGTTGGATGTGTACGATTATCCTAAACTGGGATACCTGGATGTAAATGGATTGCTCCAAAATATGCCTCTATTGGAAAAGCTTAATATTGAAACTAAAGACGCTGCTATTGGTAAGGATCAGTTGCAGTCGGTGCTGCATCCGAGGTTGAAGGAATTGGGCATCAGTGGAGGAAGATTGAGGAGTGTCTCATCAGGAACTTTTTCAGGAATTAAAGGTATAGTAATTTAACTTGCTAAGTTCTGATTCACAAGATACTTGGTAGATGCATTTTTTCTCTTGTTTCGATTTGCTTTGGAGAATTTGCTTTACTGCGACCTTATCATATGTATTGTGATCCTGTTCTGATCCTTCGGTTATATTCTCCAGTCCTATCCATTTCAAAAAGTCTAGCAACATGGAGACTGACTCATCACATAACTCTTTGTCAATGGCCTATCATTGCCTAGTACAAAGAACCGCACATTTGCCAGGCTGTCGCACCGACATAAAATGTGTTCTGTTGTTTCTTCTTCAGATTAACAGAACCTGCACATGGCTTTGTTTGCCAATCCCATTAGCTTTAGATGCCTATTCAGCTTAGAATACCCTGTTAATAGACCCACTACAGCTCTGACTGTTTTTCTGTCTTTGCTTATGTTTGCTGTCGATACCACCTGTCTCTGCCCTGATGAGTTTCTCCATCAGCCTATTGTGGCCACCCACAGTATTGTGACCATTCTTAGAACTGTTTTTGCAACGCCTCAGAAGGTTTCTGGGCTTATAAATGACATTGATGAGCCTTGTTTGATCATTTTGTTACCCTTGTGACCTTCGTGCCCCTTGTTCAGAACTGTTACTCTTGAGAGGTCTTTCGGCAAAAGTTTGTATTGAAATTTAAACTAGATTATTGAAGAAAGATAGGGAAGGTGCTCCAAAATGAACATCAGAAAAAAATCAGGCGAATAGACAAACATTAATATAACATTAAAACTGTTTTTATCTCTGGAGCTACTCGAAAAAGCGTCTTAAAAAAACAAGTCAGGAAATATGGAAACAAGAGAAAGAGTGCATCTACCATGTACCATGTGAATGCAGTAAGTCGTACATTGGAGAGACAAATCATCTTCTAATGTTCTACAACTACCATACAGGGATGTAGATCTGATAATAATACTCTATATTTTAGGTTCAGACATAATCATTCGTCTAACGAATACATCAGTGACTTCCTTACCGCCAGCATTATTTTTCCCTTTACCTCGTTCATCGAAAGCTACCCTGGACGTCACTGGCAATCAATTAACCACGCTGGGCACTCAGCTATTGGCAACGCTGGAGGATAGACGAGGCGATTTAAAAGTTATCGGTCTGGAGACGAACCCTGTGGTGTGCGATTGTAATTCGAGAGCTTTGAGGAGATGGTTATCATCTCATATGGCAACAGTGAGATGCGTTGGGCCGCCGTACTTGGCAGGTAATCAAAAATGTCGATAATGACAAGAAAGGTTGATTGTTAAGACGGGTTCTCATCTAGCAGTCTAGTTTAGTGAAAGCTGTAGGAAAATTAACAAAATTTTTGATGAATGAACGTCGCAATGTTGCCATGGCTACATTTTTTTACTTTGGCATGTGTCAAATAAAATTCGTAATTCTGTCACCGATTCTATGATTATTAAGCTCACGACTGGTCTACTTGGCAAGTAAGCCAATATTTGCGTACTTGGCAAGTATCCCCACCAGTCCCCACTTTGTAAACAACATCGGCAAGTGTGGCGCTCACACGACGTGTTTACAACAAGTACGCCAGCACAAACATTGTTTAAATCCTTGGAAAGTAAACAGTATAGTCGCATCGATGGATACCGGTCGTCCCGAAATTGTCGTTGCTAGCTCTTTTCTCTTTTTAAGTTCTTTTACTGTACACTGTAATACAATTTCTATGTTCTTTATGTTTGGCCATCCATATGAAGGGCTCATTTTCGTATAAATCCATAAATTCCAAAACAACATCATTTGAAGACTACACGGGAAAATCCAGTTTTGTCCATTTTAATAGGAGCCGAGAAAAAAGCAATTTAGTGTTTTTTAAAGAAATATGTTATTTTCGGTTGAATAATTAGAAAAATATACAATTTGCCAATTCTGAATTATTAATATTGTGAATTATCGCCATATTCTGAAATACCGAAATAAAAAAGTCAAAATGCAAAACAAAACAGGGGAAAACCAGAGATGTCCAATTAAACGTTGTATAAAACCTAAATCTAAACTATTATTTTGTATAAAAAAATTAAAATATAATTGTTGTGGGAAGAAAAATAATATTTAAGTAGGTTTTTATTACAATACATAAATTTATAACATATAATACTAATTTCAAGATTGTCGCCCATGCGTAAGTACATCTCTGGTTTTTGCCATTTACGCGTGGACTACTCTGGTTTTTCCTTTGTACGGCAAAATAACCAAGTTGTAATATCTCTGGGACTAAGCGTATTATTGCTTTCTTTTTTCTTGAATGACGTTAACATTTGTCCATAAAGTTGTATCGCTCAACGTCGCTATCTTAATTTCTATGAAAATGTGACATATCTGGTTTTTCCCGTGTAGTCTTCATTTGTCCACTCCATTTATTGCTGTGGGAACGATTTAGATGCCGCCTATATTGAAGTTATTAATGTAAATTTCATATTACATAATCTATTATTGTTTTAACGTTTTAAATTATCCGCAATTAACTCGAAAAACACTACGATCCGGAAATAAATCGGACATACGCTATAACAGTACAATTATTTGCGCAATTTATTGTCGTTTTTTTACGCCTCGGCAAGTGTAAACAAGGCTGGCCAAGTACACTTGGCAAGTGTACGATTAAGGCTGATTCATGGTACACCGGGCCGTACCCGAGCCGGGCACGTTCCGTAAAGTAGACACCGAGCCACGTCCGGGCCTTCAATATATGCTACACCGAGTGGACAACGGGGATCATGTCCGTGCCGATTATATTCTAGAAAACAGTGTTGCCGCAGTGGTACATTTGTACCAAATTTGATACTTTTAATTCTATTTGGTACAGTGGTACTACATTTTCAAATCCAGGATGATTTGGTACAATAATTATTTCCCACGCGCACCGAAATTGAATAGATATTTAATAATTATTGTCGTTGATATTGCATTAAACGCGCTTACCGATACCATTCGGAGAAAATCCGCATTAATTAACGACGTATTATAAACGTTGTAATGTCTATAGCGTTGCCTATATTAAATAACCCGAAGAAAAAACTTGAAAATTTACTGTTTCTAACATGCTTCTATATTTGCGTTTTTTTTAAATAAAATTTAAGTTTTCCAAGTATTGTGTGTAGTATTAGAATTACTTAGAATTCTTCAACCTATACATACTTATAATTGGGTTTTCTGAATTTCTATTTCATGTTTTTCGTCTCGATTTGTGTCTTTCTCCAGGAAGTTTTTTTATGTAGAAATTTATGAAGAAATTCACAGCGACCAAACCGGTTAAAGTCATATGCAGATGTATTTTGTTGTGCTTTAAAAAATTGTACCAAAGTGGTACATTTTTAGTTTATAATGTGGTACGCGCTAAAAGTTGGGTGCGGCAACACTGCTAGAAAACAGCCGCTATAGGCCCGTAGATGAACGAAGTATTTAGCCCGGGCGACTCATTTATGTTTGCCGCAACGGGGCCGGACCGTAGCGGATCCGAGGAAAAATGTACACCGACATTTCTCGGACGGGGCACGGACGGGTTCCGGCGAAACTCGGCCCGTGCTCGGCTTAGCATGAATGCATAGGTATAAATACCATTTGACAATGTTTGGCCGTGCCTTCACCGTCGCACGGCCCCGGCCCGTCACGGTGTACCATGAATCAGCTTTCTTCAATCGTTTGACTCAGACTATGTTTACCGACAGAGAGCGGGGACGCGACGAGTGACCAAGGAAACCGTTCTCACGACATGGCAAGTACCTTTTATATAATCCTTTCTTTATATCTTTACAGGTAAATTGTTGGTTGAAATTGGAGACGACGAATTGACATGCGACCCCAACAAGATGATATCACCAACAACTACCAAATCTACAACTTTAACTGGCTCAACGCGTTTACAGAAGAAAACTACCGAACCGGAAATTATATGGTCCATGCCAGTTACCGAAAAACAACAGCCCAAAATAAAAACAGCCTCTACAGGCCAGTCAACTTTGAACAACGATGACACGCTGATTATAGGCATCGTGGGTGGTGTTGTGGCATTCATAGCTATTCTGATCATCGTTATCTGTATAATCAGGTAAAGAATGGAACGTATAAGTTATAGTAGCCTCTAATGATGGCTAACCAGTATCGTCTAATAATCCACAACCTTATATTATTAGCCGACCATACCAACAGGTATGGTAGGCTATTAAGATCGGCAAAAAAAAGTTTTTTTAATTTCACTCAAAATGAGTTATTTGGGTCATAAATGACCTAAATACAATATATTTTCATGGTGTCTGGCCATGGTACAAAGAAAACAAGGTATGATCGATAGCGGCTCCAATTTCGTTAAGTTTGCGCATACCACCTGTGACGTCATACGCCATACAAAAAAATATCCATGTTGTTCAATTGCCACTAATAAAAAAAGACCTAAAGTAGAGAAGAATTAGGACATAACCCCAAAAGTTATGTCAAATCATCGAGCTTGACATTTAAAAAATTATTTTCACATTTATTCTGTCATCTGTTTGACAATTTGAAATTGGCGCGCGGAGCCTGCCGACCAATGGTACCGTTTATCACCTGTGACGTAGTGACCAACCTGCGCAATATCATACCTTGTATTCTTTGTATCATGGTGTCTGGCTGTCTGTCCGTCTGTAACACGATAACTCAAAAACCGCTAAACCGATTTTAACCAAATTTGGCACAAAAATACTGTGGCACCCGAGAATCTGGCCATTAGTTTTTGGTGGGGGTGGGGGGTTGGTAAGGGGGTATGGGAGGGGGTTAAAAATTTTAAAAAATCGTAACTCCAAAATTACAGTAGCTAACGAAACGCAGTTTTCAATTTAAGATTAGGAATAATATTTGCAACAAAATTTGTAATAACATCAAAATCGGTCAAAGTCGCAGTTTTTGAGATAAAAAAAATTGGAAAAATTCCTTTACTTTGAAACTAAAAGAACTGCCTACCAACTTTTTATTAACATATTTTAGTATGGGCGGCTATACGTGCCTCCCGGCGCCAATTTTTTTTAATAAGATTGTGAGTAATTATGCCTTTTCATTCCCTCATTAGAGGATACTACTATACAGAGTGAGTCTTAAATAAGTGCAAATATTTTTAGGAGTAGTATAATAAACAGGTCTAAAGCTTGATTTTCATGTTATACGTTGATACGTTCGTTGGTCCGACGGTGCTCTGATTGGTCATAGCTTTTTCGCGCCACTTTTTATCCGTAAATATTTTACTTCAGCCCGTCAACGGACCCGTTCATACGATAACGGACGTTTTGACACTTTTTTAACAAATTTAATCTAACCTTAATATAAATATAAGTAAAATAGCAAAATCGTTATGGAAACGAAAATATAAAATAACACCAACGTATATCCGATAAACGGAGACACGAAAATGCAAGAAATTTAAAAACTGCGTTATTTTCTAACCAATCAAAGTCTTTAAATTCTACCAATAAAATTAATATCGTATCAACGTATCGTCGGACAACGGATGCATGAAAATAAAGCTTAGGAGTTTTTTCCGCGAAAAAAAAATTGTGACACCCCACAAGAAAATGGGACACCCTGTACATGTATTTACGTTTAAGCTACACAGCAATTTTCTTTAATATATTTCATAAATAGGTTGCGCATGAGCAGTAACCAGTATAGAGGCCCAGTCAGCGCAGGATCCATAGTGGCGCCCGGTATGATTGGATCTGGTAGTAGTTGCGCATGTAGTATCAAGGGGGCGCCACAAGGATCAGCTTCGGCCACAGCTCTATATGCTATACCCCCTAGCTATGCAGCCACGTTGCCACATAAGGTGCCCGTTCATCAAGGTCAGTATTATATAGAATATCTTGTCATCTACATCTATAAAATACATATAAGTAATACTCCTATCTTATGATCGAAAAATAAACTGCGTCAAAGACTTCTGTGGAATAACAATCGATGATAATTTTGACGAGGTCAAAATGTAGTAATGGCGCTTACTACCAGTTGGCCTGATATTGAGTAAAAATGTTTTAAATGTGTGGTTTAAAATTCGCGATAAAAAAAATTGTTGGAAATAGATTTGTGTGCCTAGAAACGTTCTATCCTTTTTTAATTCTTCTATAATTAGTGTTAATTTTTGACAAGTTGATGTCAATTTTTAGTAAATAACGTCTAGAGATTGATCTCGCCAAAATTATTATCGATTGTCATTCCCCAGCCTTCTTTGGCGCCGTTTGTTTTTCGATCGTACGGTATAACTAGAAAGTCTTTTATTTTCAGGTGCTATAAGGGTTCCAACATATTCCACCATGGGTAGAGGCCCTTACTATCAACAGTCCAACGTGCAGCCTTACTTTATAGCGGCGTATCCTTCAGACGAAAAAATATATCGATAGTTCGTCTGAACCAAGCTCAATCCTCTACAGATTGAGTTTTAAACGGGTTGGACCACATTGGTCTGTCAACAAATTTCAGTTTCTGTTAAGTTTTAATGTATAAGCGTCGTATTGTAAATAAACATATTTATTAACTTAATCTTAAGTACAAATATTGAGCAGGAACATTGTTGTAAGTTGTTAAAAATGCCATATTTTTTAAATAAACGCTCAAATTTGTTTTTATTATTGTAGTTAAATTATTTTTGACATCTATTTTCACTTAAACATTAAAATCAAAAATGCTATAAGTAAGTGCTATTTTTTTGTCTGCCTTATGGACTATGCATAAGGATGAAATTAAACGAGCTAACTAATCACCTGGAGGCTGTGTAAAGCTTCATTCAGAACCTCGAAATTAGTGGTTTCAATTAGCGTAGAATTTTGTTCCTCTAATTTCAATGTAAGGATTTCGACCGTCAAAATTAAGCAAGCTGTTGCTAGGATATTCCATTAATTTTAATTGTATTTTTTTAGACATTGTCAATGATTGTATATATCAATAATTTCGATGTTCTAAATGAGGCTTTATAGGAGAAAAAATAAGAGGCACCCATTAATTACGCTACTTGAGAATTTTTTGACTCCCCCCACTTCCGTGAGACGTGAGATATATGGACGCCCCCCTAAGGGCGTCGTTTAAACAAAAATTACTCAGTTGTAACCCGTTAAATCTGACTTTATTTATAAAGTTATTTAATAACAAATGACACATTTTCGTTTTACGAATACGTATCCTTGGTTGTAAGTTGTAAGTCCTATTCCTACTTAAACAAAGAACATCTAAATAAACTTATTGAGCTTTTTAGCTTAGAAATGTCCAGCCTTATTAATAAGCCAATAGAGAGTATAAAAACGACAACTATCGATATTTTAAAAATATCGATAAAACTATCGATTAACTCAAAATATCGATAGTATCCCACAGCTCTAATCGGATTTACTAAAATCGATAACTATCGATATTTTTCAAAATATCGATATCTGAAAATATCGATACTCTCCTATATCTCTAAACGATTTGATTTCCCCCAAAAAAATTATGAGTAAGGCTGGATCATTTTTAAGACGAAAATTTTTTAGTATCGAAAGAAAAGTACATTTTATATCACAGTTACAACTAAATCTCGCAACAACAATTCCAATTAATATAAATAAATGTTTTTTTAATTTATATATACATAAAAAATAATCGATATTTGTTGCACTTGATAGATTAATACGTATTTTTATAAATATTATATCGAATGCAACAATGCTAGTTATATATTTCTAAAAAAATAAAAACAATTCTATTGTTAGCAAGTTCTGCAGTTTGGTAAGTCTTGCAAACTGCCTTCCCCTAAAAACAAAAACATTGATAGTTTCTAATTCAGTATAATGGTATTTTGTTCAATTTAACATAATAATAAGTTCATTGGAAAAATGTTCATATACAAGGTGTGCCAGAAAGATTTATTGATTTATTATTAAGATTTTTTTAAAAGTTTATAGGGAATTTCTTCAGCATGGGCAATAAGAAAAAGAAATAATTTTTTGCACTCATGGCGGTATATTTCAAAAATCCTGTTTATATACATATATGTAAAAATGGGGTTAGGAACATATAAAAACAGTCAGCCAAGTTATAATGAAAAATAAACAAAAGTTGGCGTACAAGTTTTCAAAATATTTGACAAATGCACGTTGAGATGTTGTCACGGCTACTTTTTCTACTTCGACTATTGACATTGTGTCAAATAAACTTATTCATTTTGTCACCGATTTTCCACTTCAATTTTAGACACAATACCTATATAAATAATTTTTTTTATATCTACATTATTACTTTCCCTATGATTATTACACAAATTCTAATTAAATAAAGTTATTAGCATGTTTTCTAAATGAAAGCTGAAAAATGTAAAGTTCTAATTTGTGAAGATTAGTCTTCACTTTATGAGAGATTCTACTCAGTCAATGAACTCATATTGAGCGCATGTAGCAAAAATGTGTTTGGTTTGGTTTGGTGGGGCTAAACTTTTTGGCACACCTTGTATATCCCGTCATTTTTAAACGATCATCGACATTAATCTTTGAATAAGAAGACTAAGGAAGGAGCATATCAAAAATCTTAGGAACACCGCGATGGGCCTCAAATATTCCGGTTTATCAGTGTCGTTCTAATATTATTTAAAAAAATGTAAAATTATGATGTAGGGTAGACGTGGGGTAGACTCAATAATTTGTTGTTTTATTTTACGTTGTGAATAAATGTTGGTAGTCATTAAAATTGTTATAAAAATATATAATTCTAATAAAAATAGATAAGTTTTAATAAGTATTTATTAACACAAACATCCGATATGCTACTGAAGCAGGTAAGTCAAATTAACGTATCTAAATTGTTTGACATCTAATCTTTGACAAGTAATAAATAAAAGCTAAAATGCAAGAAAAATATATAATTTAGTTAATTTAAGTGAATTTCATAAATGATCGGTTTACTACACGTATGTATATTACATAGTCATTTACTAGCGAAAAGTTGTTCCATTATTTCACTCAATTTTTGCCGAGATCTACCGCACGCTACACAACCAACTATTTTAGAGTCTTTTTCGATAAATCGCGATAGTGTCACTGTTAATTTGAGTTCTGCCACAATTTCCATCTAGATTTACTACCTTTATACAACTATCAGTAGTAGAATAAATAATAAATAACATAAAATAAGCTCCGTAAAGACTGAAAAATGTAAAAAATTTCAAATCAAATTCAAATGCGTCAAATGAATCGTCCAACAGAACTGTCAAGGATCCCCACCCTAGAGTGCTTTTTCCGCCCACCATGCATGAATACAATGGATATCATTATGCTCCTTCCTTAGTCTTCTTATTCAAAGACATTAATAAATGTAATATTACCGATTATTAATATTGATATAAGTACCTTGTATTTGATAACCCATATTGACTAACATGGATTCAAAGGGATCCATCGCCATCCGATGCTGATTGGCCTCAATCACACTATTCACTTCTTTGACAATCCTGATATTTTGACGGCCATCCTACCAAACAACACCGAAATCGCTGTTTCAATAAATAATAACAAATAATAGACAAACCTTATTGTATATGACATTCAATGAATCAACCCTAGATAGTTTATAGGAGCTAAGGTATCAATAAATTGAACTTTAGAACTCCTTTAGAATTAGAAATTAAATAAATTATTATTTGTGAAAAACTCATCTTACCTCTGATGTCGGAGACCACAGCTTTACAACGGAATCTATCCCGCTAGATGCTATAAAGCATGCGTTAGGATGAGGCTGGACACAGTTAACTATGGAAACGTCGCCGAATAGAGCAGTGACCAATGACGAATGTTTTCGCTCCCAAATGAATATGATTCCTTCATCGGATCCGGCACAAATAAAATTTCCATCATCACCTATTAGACGTTATATTTTTTTTAAACGTTTATGTTTGGCTCGCCCTGTATATAGGGTGTTTCAAACCAAATGCGAAAAATTTTAAAAGGTGATTTCTTGTTAAAAATAAATGGTGCTTTGTGATACGGGATACGGGGTGTTTCAAAAAACATGTGCCATCTATCGTGGGGATATTCCCCACGTAAAAATAAGATTTCTTCTTTGTATTATCAGTCTGATTCTGCTTTGTTTCGTAGCTACAGGGGGTTAAAGTCTTTTTTTTTCGATTTGTTATTATTTGTTCCAAACGCTGTTAGCGATTCGAATAAAATATTGAGGGTAAAAGATACTATAAGTGCGACATATTTCAATGCTAAAAATATGTCGACAGATTCACCAGGGACGTGCATATGGGTTATCACTGGCATATTAAAAAAAAGTGCGCCACTGACTTTTTTCTCTTGTTAGCAAAATTGTGTAGACCTCTTTATAATAATAATAGCTCCCGTATATAGCGTTTAACGCCTTGGGAGTAGCAAGGTACAGCTTGCCATACTAGAGCCGTTCGGTATACAAGGAAGGTAATGTGGCTAGCACTACGCTTCAACCGCCTATTATTACCTCAGGATTATGAATCCCAAGTACTCATTTAAGGCTGAGTCGACCTAGGTACCCAAATCATTTTTATTTTAATAAAAATAGTCGGCTGATGCAATGCCGGGTGTGGGAATCGAACCCACTACCTTGAGATTGGTAGACGAGAGCCTGTACCTCTACGCCACCGGGCACCTTGTAGACCTCTTTATATCTATGTTAAAATTTTTAAAAATATGTCTTTTGTAATAATGTATCTTAAAAACCATTATTTTTTTGAATTAGCTGTAGGTGGCACTAAACATCAGTGTTACTACAAAAATACATAAATTTAAAAAAAAATAATAATAAATCAGATTAAATAAGTACTTTTTTATTATTTTTTTTGTATACAGGGTGACAATTTGAAAACGAACAGTATTTAATATTACCTCTACCGATGATAGTATGAAAATTTGGCGAAATACGTCAATTTATATATCAAGGGGGACAATTTTTGAGGCATTTGTTGTCGTGTTACTTTCAACCCTTTGACCCTCAGGGCACCTACCCCTAAAATGTTAAATGGCAACCCCTATTTCTTTTACCATTTTTGTGTTCCTTATAAAATTCTCAAAAAAAAATTGGCGCCGGGAGGCACGTATAGCCGCCCATACTAAAATATGTTAATATCTCAAAAATTGCAACTTTGACTGATTTTGATGTTATTACAAATTTTGTTGCAAATATTATTCCTAATCTTAATTTGAAAACCGCGTTTCGCTAGCTACTGTAATTTTAGAGTTACGATTTTTTTTAATTTTTAACCCCCTCCTATACCCCCTTACCAACCCCCCACCCCCACCAAAAACTAATGGCCAGATTCTCGGGTGCCACAGTATTTTTATACCAAATTTGGTTAAAATGAGTTATCGTGTTACAGACGGACAGACGGACGGACGGACAGACAGACAGACACCACGAAAATATTTTGTATTTAGGTCATTTATGACCCAAATAACTCATTTTGAGTGAAATTAAAAAAACTTTTTTTTGCCGATCCTATTAGCCGAGCATACCAATGCAGTTTTTGTAGAATTCTATAAGAAACATAAAAATGGTAAAAGAAATAGGGGTTTGGTTTGGTATTTAAAATTTTAGGGGTAGATGCCCTGGGGTTCAAGGGGTTGAAAGTAACACGACAAATGCCTCAAAAATTTCACCCCTGGACGTGTTTCGCCAAATTTTCATACTATCATCGGTAGAGGCAATATTAAATACTGTTCCTTTTTAAATTGTCACCCTGTATAAGGTACAACTTTTAATGGGAATGTACAGGGTGGCTCGAATTCGACGCTATCATTGGGATTTCGGAAACCGTAAGAGATACAGGATCGGTTAAATGGAGGCAAAGTTGCGCAATTTGATGCTCAATAAAATGCTGTATTGCATTTTGAAAAATTGCGAATACTTCCGAATATATTCGAAAAAAAAAACGGAATTTTCAATTTTGTTTTTTATTGTTTCCTGACTTTATTTGTTAAGAAAACTTAAAATGAAAAACACATTTTCATGGCCACTTTTTCTGCTCTAATAACTCTGTGTGATTAAATATTGACTCTGACGTTTCGGCTTCTGGCGACCATCGCACAGTGATTGAAAATGCAATTCTACGGTTCCAAAAATATTTATGTTATGTAAGTGTTTTTTTCGGCTTTATAAATCAAGGTATAAGCTAATAAACTCTTACAAATGATGTTGCAAAAGTTTTTTTTTAATAATAACTATAGATACGAGTGCCTTTATTGTTTATTTATTTTCACAGCGAGAATCTAAGAAAAATCAATGTTCTTTTTTTCGAAAAAACGCTCAGACACGTCGATTATTGATTTTGTTGATGCCATTTTTGAATGATGCCATGAAGCCATTTTTTGATGATATTTTAATGTATACAGGGTTTCCCAAAAATTGAGTTATGCCAGATAACTTCTTGGTTTTAATGGAAACACCTATATTTGTTATTTTATTTGTGGATTGTATGTCAAATTCTAGACACATTTTATGTTTTATACCTATCTTCAACTGTTTTTAAACTGCAAATAACCGAAAATCGACATTTCACCCTGTTAGTCTACCTATACAGTGTCTACCATAATGTTGGCTATATATGTTTTTTTTTTAATTTATAGGATATGCGAAAATTTTGTATGGGGGATCGCTCCTGCATGTTTAGTAACTTTAAAAGTCATTATGACATCAGTCACGTAATGACTGTCATGGCGGCAAATTAAAAAAACCGCTATGAAAACCCGAAAAGTGGGGTTAGATGGCAAAATATCGAAAAAAGTGTTTAAAATTATATTTTAAGGCTATCTACAAAATTTGCGACAATTATAAAAAGTGGAAAAATCATATTTTTAGCCCTGGCTCCAAGCCTGGTTCTTCTATGAACATTTTTTATATATGGAATTTATTACTGAATTAGCCCAAGTAACTTGATATTTAAAGTATAGCATGCACCACTGAATTATTGGAAACCTGACAAACTGTCAAGAAACACGGCATGGCTACAAAAAATTACCGTTTCGAAATCGACTTTTCTGATTTTATCCTCTGGAAATGACTTCAATGTGAAATTTTGAGTTGTTTTAATTTTACACATTGAGTATCAAGTTACTTGAGCTAATCCAGCAATAAAATCCGTATAAAAATATTTTATAGAAGAGCCAGGACTCAAAATATGCCTTTTTCTACTTTTTCTTATTTCCGCTCGAAATTTTGCAGGTAGCCTTAAAATATCATTCTAAACATTTTTTTCAAATAACTTTTTTCGATATTTTGCCATCTAACCCCACTTTTCGCGTTTTCATAGCCGCCATAGTTTTCAATTTGCCGCCATGATAGTGATCACGTGACTGCTGTCATAATGACTTTTTAGGTTATTAAACATGTAGGAGCGATCCACCAAACAAAATTTTCAGAAATCCCATAAATAAAAATATTTCCCATATGTAGCCAACATTATGGTGGACACTGTATATTAAATGAGAAAGGGCGCCTGGTGGCAAAAGTTTTTTGTTTTTTTTTACAAGGAAAAAATGTAGAGAACAAAATGATGTTAGTATTTGGAAGTCGTAACAAGGCACAAAGAAGTTCTACCGTGTTATGCAACGTTTTCGCATTATTCGTTAATTTACAATGTACACTTTAATTGAGCGTCCTAAAGTATCTTTCATATTAAACATCATAATTTTATGTAAAACACAAATTACATATCTCCAGAAATATGCAGCATGTGTTTGAGAAATCAAAACACACAAACATTAATTTAACGAAACGATTAAGACTGCAATCGAAACAGAGATCAGAATTTCTCTAAATGGCGTATTAACTGTTTCGGCTTGTTGTCAACATGGAGCAATTGTTTCTTAGCCAGGGCGACTGGGATTTGTGTAGCACTGTTTATTAGCTTTCTTTGAAGGATAATATATCATTTTGTAAAAGATTTAAGTCAACAAGAAATTTGAATTTTGGAACTTCAGAATTCCATTTTCTATCACTGTGCATCTTCAGCTTAATTTTTTTAAATACGGACCTGATTTTTTTTCAATTTAATTAAATCCTTTCATTACTCTTAAAACACTATATATAGTCACTTTGATATTTGCCGACGTTTCGTACAGAAAATTTCATCACCAGAATATTTTATGCAAAAAAAAATTAAAAATAAAAATGCAGTACGGCATTTTATTGAGCATCAAATTGCGCAACTTTGCTTCCTTTTAACCGATCCTGTATCTCTCACCTCTTACGGTTTCCGAAATCCCAATGATGAGCGTCGAATTCGAGCCACCCTGTACATCTAACAAAAGGAAAAAAGTCAGTAGCGCACATGTTTTTTTTAGAAAAATATTTCATTAATAACCCATAATATGCACGTCCCTGGTGAATCTGTCTTCAACATGTTAGCATTACGATATGTAGCACTTACACATAGATATGTACCTAGTACCTTTTACCCTCAAAATTTCATTTGAATGACTAAAAGTACTTGGAAGAAAATTATAGAAAATCGAAAAAAAAAAATGAAGACTTTAACACTCTATAGTTACGAAACAAAACAGAATCGGACCTATGTTGATATACAAAATATATCTTATTTTTACGTGAAGAATCTCTCCACGAGAGAGGGCACATGTTTTTTGACACACCCGGTATAACAAAAGTGCTCATTATTTTTAACAGAGAATCATCCCTTAAAATGTTTCAAAGCAATCTTATAATCTAAATCTACGTAAAAGTAATGTATTTTTACCTAAAAAGTTAGCTTCCTTAATATCGGTGGTGGTATTGCAATGACCGAGAAACCTCAAATCATAATCTTTGGAGTTCAGTCTTCTCTCGGCCTCGTCCTCTTCAATCTTGTGCGATTTCATGTCGCACATCTCCCTCTCTCCAAAACCGTCTTTTGGAGTATTTTTCACAGTCTGTATAGTTTCTCTCAACAATCGCGCCTGTTAAAATAATTTCCAGCGTTTCAATTTGATTTGTAATTCTAATAAACAAGATGTTTCGTAAATATATACCAGTATTTTAAGTGAAAGCATATTTTGATCCCGAAAACAACCCCTTATTTAGGTGTCACATTAGACCGGACCCTGTCATTTAAACATCATGTCGAGAAAACTAGGGCCAAGATCTCTACAAGGTACAACCTGTTGGGAAAGCTGGCAAGCTCCACCTGGGGGGCTAATCCACACACACTAAGAACTACTGCTCTTGCACTCTGCTATTCTGTTGCCGAATATGCCGCACCAGTTTGGGAACGCTCCTGCCATGCCAAAAAGATAGACCCGATGCTGCACCAATCGTGCCGTCTAATCACCGGATGCCTAAAACCCACATCGGCCCAACAGCTACACCTCCTCAGCGGGATAGCTCCACCCCACATAAGGAGACAAGTTTCCAGCATGAAAGAGAAACAGCAAGCTCTTTCCGATACCCGGCACCCGCTCTTCGGACAACACGCCGCTGGATCCAGGTTGAAATCCCGAAAAAGCTTTCTTTCTACCGTCCAACCACTTCATAACAGTACGACATCCGCAAAGAGACTGGAGTTGTGGTCAGCAACTTCAACAACTCCAAATGAATTTGCGCTAAGGCTAAAAGAGAGCCTACCACCTGGTGCGGAACAGGCATGGCCGGTGTTGAGAAGTCTGAACCGTTTGCGTTCTCAGGTTGGCAGATGCAAGACAAACATGAACCAGTGGGGCTACCTTGACGGATCTGTATCCTGTGAATGCGGAGAGGAACAAAATATGAGGCATCTTCTCGTATGCCCAAATCTCCCAAACATATGCAATCAGGGTGATCTCGCGGAGGGAAATACCAACGCTCTGGAGTGTACCAAGTACTGGATATCCTGTATATAACTGCTGTATGCATATATATTTTTTGTAGTTTGTCTAATTCTGTACAAGTATTGTTCCTATTTATGTTGATTGTTTGACTATGTTTTTTTAAATGTATGATGTGCCTTTTTATTAATTTAGCCGTTTTGTATATTTTATATATATTTTTGTGTTTCTTGATTTGTTTTTTATATATACTGAGTTGGACACGAGTAAATAAATAAATAAAATAAATCCCGAAAACACTAAAATTCAGACATATATTCGATACCAATGACTAAAGAATATAAGGACATGTAACGCCCCTATACGGGCTGCAGCAGAATTTGTGACCTTTTTTTTTGTTTTGGTGGCAAACAATGAGTCATCATTTGGTCACCAGCGACAATTTTAGCGATTTTTAATAGTTTGTGTGTAGTAAACTTTGTATAAACTTTATTATAATGGTGATTAGTTGTTCAGCTTTCAAGTGTAAAAGCAGCAGCGATAAGAAAGAGCCACGAGTTACGTTTCATAGGTAAATAAACAGTCCACTCCAACTTTTTAGCGTTTTCTTATTGAATTCGATAATTATTCTTCAATTTCAATTAATATCTATATGTACTTGATATCTGCTATACGTCGATACTAGTTTTGTACCTTTTGTTAACATTTTAATACGTTTTTTTCGGAATTAATTAGGATGATACACCATAGGCTTAGTCAAAACAATTATCAAAAAATATAAATATTGCTTCAAACAGCTAGGTTAAGAAAAATATGTGTCACGGCACTGTTTGATGGCATCGTCACAATTTGCTCTCGGGTGTTATTTGTCCTTGGATTCTTTAGTCATTGTTTGATACCAATTAAACTTTTAGTGACGTAATCGAGTGCGCGATTTTTAAATTCATTGTTGCCAATTATGGGCATATTCGGCGCCAGCCTAACCAGACTAACTAGAATTTAAATTTCCCGCTGGGGATTCAGGTGGTAGATCTGCTGTAAAAAATGTCAAGTTGCCACATTTATTTCCTGACACTGTCATTTGTTTTGACACTTTAGTTTTGTATTATGAATTTTTGGTTTAAATGAATTGTGTTGTGATACTTTAAGTTTGACAATTTTTACTAACAGACCTTGCAGTTGAAAATTGTTCTTTTTAGAACATCTTTTAGTGCAAAGTGTACAAAATAGCTTAATAGCAGTAAAAAATGTCCGTACATATGTCCCTTAAGTGCTATCAAGAAGGTGAGGTTTGTTTATGTAAATAATAAATGTTTATATATTATTTATAATTAATTTATTTTTGTTTCCTACAATATTTTGATTAAAAGAAAATATGTAAAAGTGGGTAACGCTGTGCCGGTCAAGCTTAATCACGTGACTAAAAGTTTATTTGATATGAGCTATATATTTTGATCTCGAAAACAGAAAAATATCTAAAATATTATACATATTCCCGAAAATTTCACACCAGTACTTTAAAAAAAAACGGATATCCAAACATCAATTTTCATCCAAAAACTGAGATTAGTTTTTCATACAAACTATTTTAATTAGTTATATCTGTAAAATATGGGCTTAAGATACTTGCACATATAATATATGAGACACTCTGTATAAAACACTGGAAAAAATGTCAGTGACATAAACATACCTGATTTGTCCCATTAAACTCTGGATTAATATTACACAGGTAATCATACCATAGCTCAGCATCATCCACCCATTTTAAAGCAACAAGACATTTGATAAGCCCCACATAAGCTTTGATTTGGTCAGGCCAATTGCGGATAACGTGCAGATAGTCTCGGGCAGCACTATAAATGTCACCCATCCTGAAAAGAAAAAAAAAACATAAGTAAAAAAGGTACACATGTGAAAAATAAAATTAAAAACCATCGAATAATAATTTAAAAGAGCTCCACAGATGGCTTGGAAATGAAGATCGCCGTCATTTTGAATGTGAATTATATGGGGAGTGTCATCAACCATCATTTCCAAGACAACTGAATGTCGTTCTTTCGATCGTATGGTATATACATACCATTTCCTTCTATAACACTCATATGCTCTTCTCATATAAAAACATGCACATTTTTTTCCGGTATTCACAGGTTTGTTAGTATAACTACTGTTTTTGACGTAACCATTCCCTTCCTACAACCAAATAAAAAAAACTAACAACTCGTAGTTATACAGGGTGTTTAAGTTCAAAGAATGCACTGCTAAAATTCAGTGGGTTCCCCATCAATAAGTATGGAAAAAAGTTCGTATAAACATGGGTCTGAAAATTTAAAAAATATATTTTTTTTTGTAATTATAATTAACTGTAACTGACTTTCTTAAAATTTGTCAGTGATATTTCTAGTTAATTAAAACTAATTTAAATTAAAACTAACTTCAGCGGGGACCCCTTATCGAAAATAATTGAGGAAAAAATATACACTGACTTTTTTTGCAATTTTTCTATTTTATTAGATTAAGCAACTAAAAACACAACTTGTACTTGCACTCTTGTACCATACGAATAGAACTCTTTTTGAAAAAAAAACAGTTCTAACTAAATGAGTTTTAACGTCCTGTATCTTTAAAACTATGCATTTAGGAATCCATGTTAATAGGAACTTTTTTTTCCTAGTTTTTTTTGTGAGAAATCACCATTTAAATTTGGCAGTGCAATTTTTGGAACACCCTGTATAAAGTTTGTTCTGTAAAGGGGGGTTTAGACTCTCGGATAATTCACGCGAATTGGCTTGTGCAAGCCAAATTGTATCAATAAATCGTAAAATGTAAACACAAATCGATAGTTTGTGCAGTTCAAAAATTTGGCTCGAGTAAAATCTGGCTTGCCTTGATTTTTAACTGAGGTCGATCCAGTTATCTGGCGGTGTAAACGCTTTTAGATCATTTTAACATGTGGTGACTTTTGGGTTATTTAATTAAAAACCATCAGACAAATACCCCAACTAATAACTGAATGTGTAAACGAAAGATATAGAATGTTCAGCCATTGTTCAACGTCACGTCATATATTGTCGAACTTTCTCAATCACTTTCCAACCAGATGAAAGAGATTGGTCATTACGGCATTTCGTAAATTACTGCGTATTCTTTTTAGTAATTTTATTGTCTTTGTCATTTGATTTAGCTTATAATTGTATTGACGCACATTGATCGTCTAAATTAAAAATCGATTATTCCTGTCAAAGAGCTCATTGCTAAGCTTATAAATTATTTTTCTCGAGAAAGAGTCGCTGGTAGAACACTCTTGCCCGTGGACGCTGTATATGAAGTAAGTACCGTATGATCGAAAAAAAACGGAGTCCAGTTGGCTGGTAATAAATGACTATCAATGACATTTCCCATATAAATTTACATATAAAATGACAGCGATTTTCATTTCATAGCCATCGCTGACGCCTTTTTTTCCGATCATCCGGTACAATGCAAAGGTATAATATTCCCATGTAAAATTCAAATTGATAACGGTTTTAAATAATATAGTGAGTTTAGAAATAGGAATTTCTGCAGTCCAAAGGATTGCAACTAAAAACATCATAACTGATGAAGAGTTCAAGAAAAAATTAATAAATGCCGAAAAAAATGGAACTCGCTCAATTAATACTATAGGAATGTACTGCAAATTTTCTAAACAATGTGAACTGATCTTAGACATACCTTAAAAGTCATATTTGACATATAATGATGACGTAACGTTGAACGATAGCTGAACAGTCTTTACATTTGCACATATTTTGTACAAAATGACTTGCGCAAATCAATTTGCGCAAATTATCTGAGGATCTGAACTGCCCTTAAGAATATACTCACCGGCCAACATCTGCACTTGTACTTATTCGAATTGGTCTCTTTTTCTGTAAACACTGGCTTCCTGATCTCGTTGATCGGACTAGCGTTATTAATATCAAACAAATATATCTGTTCGCCGCCCATGTTTACGAGCATCTCCGTACCGGCCGAATTGAAAGTAATATATGTAGTGGCGAAGCGAACATTATGCACACGGGCATTATTAAAAGCCAAATGCCCCGGAGAATAGTACTGGACACAATTTTTATCCAAAGTTGGAGGTTTTAAGTCGTTTTGTTCACTATCTTCCGACACCTTACAGAAAAAAAAAATAACATAATATGTGTGCATGTATAGCAGAACTAGAATCAATAGTCAATAAAACAAAAAAAAAATACAAATAAATATAATAAATTCGTCATCATCAAAATATTTGACGGATGCACGTAGCAATTGCTGTCCTCCATTCGCGAACTTCGAGTTACGGGCTTTACGCCCTGGGGCTACTCGAGAACGGTTCTGAAAGGAGCGGTGCGCGATAGCTTGGTGCCTCTATATGGCGCGGAACAGTTCTGGAACTTTATGACTCAACTGAATGGAGTGAGAGTATCGCGTTCTTGAACAGTTCAGAGCTGCTCAACTGCGTGAAAGGAGGACAGCAAATGTTGCCACAGTTACATACATTTTTTTACTTTGACTTTTGACGAGTGTCAAATAAAATTTGTAATTTTGTCACTGATTTTTCACTTCTATTTTAGACACATTTTTTTAAACTTTCTCTAAAACAGTATGAAAATTTGGAAAATTATAAACGAGATTAACAATTTTAGAACAAGCAAACATTTTTATGAAGAATGCATTTTTCTTAAAATTTGAATTAATAAAAAAAACTTTTCATCTTGTAAAGATAATCTGGGGACATACTGTATGTGGTCATTTCACTTCATACCTATCTTTATTAATTTTTAATTTGAAATAAAGATTGCTTATTATTATTATTATTACCTCTGTGAAAGAATAAGCCTTAAGCATTCTCCTATCATATAAGCGCACATAACAATCATTGGCACCAACAGCAATGTAATGTGGTTTGGTTGGGTTAATAGCAATACATTTTGCTTCGTGATTTACTTTATTGAGGTTTATTAAAACTTTTGCTTGACTTGTCAAACATTCGTGCTGCTCTCTCAAGTCAAATTGTCTAAAAAATCGTTATAATACAAAAAAAATATAAAATTAAAGCTATATACTAAACTTACAATACCATTCCATCTTCACCAGCCGACCAAAACAAACTCGGCTCTTCCGGTGATGTCGCCAGTCTTTTCACTCTGTTTGTATGACATCGGCAATCCAAAATACTCGTACCTCGTACAGATTGAACTATAACTCTGCAATCTCCAGCTGCTGTAGCTATAATAGTGTTATTTGTATCCAAAAACTGCAAAGTACAGTGTTTTTTTCTAACAGAAATTTAACTATATAAAAGTTAATGTTCACCTTTACGGAAAATATGTTTCCTATGTGATTTGTTGAAACCACATGCATCTGTTTACGGTAAAATGGGTCCCAAATAATAACGTTTGTATCGTCAGAGCCTGAAGCTAAATATCTGCAAAAATAAACTAGTATCTTTCATTATATATCTTAACAAACTTATTTACCTTCCATCAGATGTCCATTGCAAACAATTAACACACCCTTGATGGCCCTGTAGTTCATAATCGAGCCCTATCCGTTTCACGAGACCCTCGGTGAACTGGCAATGTTTTTTGAGAAAATGCGAACTATCACCTTGGTTTTCTCTGAATTGTAAAAGTTTTAAAAGGTTTTTTCTTGATAGAGCTTTCTTCGGTATTTTCTCCATTTCGTAATTATAAATGTCTTTATTATAACATATTAGATTATTGATAAATTCGTTTAGTTGGGTTCGCCGACTTTTAACTTTTTTGAAAAGTGTCAGGAAGTGTCAACAAAAATATAATTTTTAGAGGGCAATTGTTTTTATTTTTGGAAATTTGATTTTTTCTAAAAAAATAGGGAATAAACTTTTGACAGATTGACAATACATTGGCGGTACTTTTAAAAGGTGGACAAATTTGAGAGATACTCTGAAACTTAGGAAGTGTTTCTTGCTATATAAATGTGTAGATACTTTAGAATAATAGAATGCATTAACGAAATTTTAATTATGTATTTGATTCTTTTCTTAAATAAAAAAATATCAAAAAATATTTTAAATCTAGTGCGAAATGTTTGTGTTTTGAAAGGTTGGCGACACTTGCCGCATGAACTTGTCAACACGTGTTGAAAGTGTTTTAGTAGCAAAGTTTTTTCAAAAATACGCAAAGAAAAAGTGTAAAAACTCTGTAAAATGTCTGTTTTACAACGTGTGGTGTAAGTAAAAACATTATTTCAATATTCAGTTCGAATTAGAGCTAAAATTTTTGAACTGTGTTTCTAACCAAGATTCAATACATTCATCTGTTATATGAAGTTGTTTTATAGATATTTTGCTAGAATTTTCTTATTATTACATTGAAAAACTATTTAACATCCTGTTAACTATAGTTATAGTTGCATTAAACATTGAAATTATATTATTTTTTAGGAAACCCACCACACATAAGGGCAAGAAGATCCTTCTCAAGAAGGAACCTCAACTGATTGAGGGACCTAAGAAGACAATTTTCTTTAAAGGTCGCAAAACTTCTGACAAAATCAGGCACGTTTTGAAAGATATGTACGATTTGAAGAAGCCAGATGGAGTTATGTTAACTAAAAGGAATGACATTACCATATTCGAAGATGTAACACCAGTAGAGAATTTTTGTAGAAAACACGAAAGTTCTTTGTTTGTAATGGGAAGTCACAGCAAAAAGAGGCCCAATAACATAGTTATTGGGAGAACTTTTAACTATGCTTTATTAGATATGATAGAACTTAATGTTGAAGCCTATGAAGGTCTGAAGGCTTTTGAAAGTTCAAAGATTTTATTAGGTGTAAAGCCTTGTCTAGTATTTAATGGTCCACTGTGGGAGGAATCAGATGAATTGAAGCATCTGAAATCAATTTTTATTGACTTCTTTCACAGGGAAAGTGTAAATGCTGTAAGGTTGCAAGGCATCGAACATTCCATTAGTTTTAATGCTATGCCCGATGGAAGAATTTGTCTTCGATCATATAAAATTGCTTTGAAAAAGTCTGGATGTAGAATTCCACGTGTGGAGCTGGAAGAAATAGGTAAGTTATTTATATACAGTTTTACAGGGTGGTATCTCTTATATCTCTTATATATAGGCTCCAAGGATAATGACAGTTTGTATTGCAATGAAATTTTGGGAGCATATGCAGGATAATTTAAATATATATAATAATAACATCTATCTCTGCTTGGTATTATTTATTATTATTTTATTTAGTAGTCTAGATTATTTATTTGTGGTGTTAATTGAAGATTTTTTTTAGGTCCCCGCATAGATTTTACATTGAGACGTACCAAATTACCTACTCCTGAACTGATGAAAGATGCTTGCACCAAACCAAAAGAACTGAGGGTTACTAAGAAGAAGAATATCAGTACTGATAATCTTGGTAGTACCCACGGAAGAATTCATATGGGTAAACAAAATATTAATAGTATCCAAACCAGAAAAATGAAGGGTCTGAAAAAGACAGCCCAGGAACGAAAGATTGAGAGAACTGCCAAAAGAAAAGCCCTCACAGAGAGTAACGAATTGATAAAAAAGAAAAAGGTTCATGATGATTAGTTGTTAAGTGATTATTACAAAGTAATTTTTAAAGTTTTTGATTTTAAAGAAAGGCATTTAAGACTATTTTATAGTAGGTAATATCATACCTATTTTTTAAGGAATGTGATATTTGTATATCAGATTTTTAAATGCTTTTTTTTAATCCTTGTACATAGTATTTAGGTGCAGTTAAGTTTATTTGTATATGAATCGCAATAGGTACTTTTAAGAACATACTTTTAATTTTCAAAAACTAAGTTAAAATCATATTCAGTCTATTCACTGATACTACGTATTATCTACAGTATGTCCCAGATTGTCCTTACAAGAGGAAAGACTTTTATTAAGAATGAATTTTTCGAAAAAAAAAATCTTTATAACAAAAAGGTTTTTTTCTCTTCTTTTTTTTTTCCTTTTCTAAAGACAATCCAGGGCCATACTATATGATGAGAAAATTACACAAATCAATCATTACAAAAACACTTCTTTTAAACTAAACGTCACAATAAATTGTCAGAAATGGAGGAATAGGAATAAATAACTAAATGAAATAGGACTACTATGTCTGTTCATACTTTTTTTTAGATTTATTTATTTTAATTAGCTCAAATAATTAATTTTAAAAACAGTATGAACACTGATAATGGTCCCATCCTATCTAATTTTCTGTTCCAATTCCTTCAGTTCTGCCAATTTAATGTTACGCTCAGTACCAATGCCAATCAATCTTTTTGGTTAGTAAGACGAGAGTTTAAAAAGTGTTTTGATGTACAATGTAGTCTGATTTGTGTGATTTTCTGTTTTAATTCCTTTTTTTTTCTTTTTTTGATAGAAAAAATATTGACTGGTCTGTATAATTCAAATGTATACATTTGGTCAACTACTTAAAAATCTTTATTGTTTCATACGCTATTTTTTGACAATAAAGCAAGTTATTTTTAATTGATCTTTTATTTTTTACCTAAAAAATAGCACACCATCGAATCAACGTCACACTAGCCTCAGAAATTATATTCCGTGATAATTTGTTATGCTTGTTTCAGTTTATTTTATGTTTTTTCTTGTTGATTTTATAATTATTTGATGATTACTTTTGTGAAAAGTGTATAAATCTGTGAAATATTGTGTCAGGACTTGAATTACAGTGAGTTTTTTGTAAATCTTAGGAAAATGCTTTAAAAATTGTTAGATGTGTACTGAGCGAGAATTTCCAGATAACAAAAAACATGAAAAATAAGAGAATAACTTTATATTCTAAAGCGCTACATATACTTCGGTTATTTCGCCCGGTTTTAACAAAACGAGCAGGACTGTTTATTTAAGAATGTCAGCGTATGAGAGTGTTTGGTCCAGTTTTGAGTGTTTTATATCTGTCATCACCAGATATTTTAACTGTACGGTACAGGGTGCCTTTAATCTTTTCTTATATCATATACATTCAGTGAAAATTCATACTGCAAGGACTAAAAAAACGAGGAATGACTATACGAAGATTCGTCATTATCCGATCTAGATTTTACACAAGGGTTCATTTATTACTAAATAAAGTACATAATTTTTAATTTTACGTTTTCTATTTTATTTACATAAAAATTAGTTACATGCTAAATCACTTTTGAAATTGCTATTGCTGTTTTACATCCAGTTTTTATAATATCCGACAGTAATTTATAGTAGGGTGCTTGTTCTGCCCCGTGATCTATACCTAAAACAAAACGTTCAAAAACATATCATATTGTATTTAAACGTCACCAAATTTACCAGTATCATGATGTTCCTGTTCTTCATCCCGAAACTTGGTAATAACTTCCATTAATTCCTTGTTGGTTTCCGGATTCTCAAGCAGCGTTCTTAATTGATCGTTATAGTGTTCTACAATGACAGTTTCCACAGCCACTGTACAAGCCATGGCAGCTTTTTCCCCTAGTAAAGCAGTACCGGCTCCTAACATAAAACCTGCTACATTCCAAATAGGCGTCATAACAGTAGGTCGTACACGGTGCTTTTTTATAAGTTCTTCGAATTTGGCTCGGTGTCCTTTTTCCTGGTCCCACATGTGTTGGATAAGGGGACCTTTGGAAGTACTACCCAGTACGGCCATTTGGCCGGCATATATTCTATCGGCACTATTAAAAAACGTTGGTTGAAATGAGTACTGTCTACTGTCACATCATTAATAAAGAAAAAATAAATTACCCAAGTTCTCCAGCATGATCTACGCGAACTATCTCATCGATTAACTTATTTGAGGCGTTACGCACTTGTGTGTAAGTAAAAATGTTTTTTCTCAGCATTTTTACGGATCAAATCAACTATATTTTCTCTTATCAAAATACATTTTAAGATTTTTAGACATTAACCTCAAATTCAGATTTTATTTTTTCATCAGCTGTTTCTGACACTGAAAAATACAGGTAAATATTGATCAGCTGATTTTGGCATTTATTTTTTGTAGGGAGTATATTCCTTTTAAATTACGTATATTCTCCGATTTTTATGTTATAAACTTTAAACCATACCACTAATACGATTTATTTTTATAGAAACAGTATGACGTAAATACTCTTGAGCCATATGCATTTTTTAGTAAAATGCTATGTATAATAGGTGCTACTTTAAGAAAGACCCTGTGTAATACTCGAGTATGGAGATTGAATCTTTACACTCTGATAATACTTAGAGTTCTGTGCAAATATACTTATTCTAATATATAGATTATTAATATTCAACACAATCAAATGTGTGGCAACTTTATTAATAAAATATAACATATTCACATAATTATAAAACTATATAGTAACATATACACTGTTTAAACTGTGATTCACCACCTACAAATTAGTTTTCAATGAAATCATGAACCAGAAACTTGATATACAATAATATATATTATGAATATAATAATTATTTTAGACAATTAACACTTTCTTTTAGAAGATCTAACTACATATTGATCAAAAATAAATTTACAAATATTATTTTAGTTCAAATTTTTATCTAAACACTCATAGTTAATTAGGTGACAAAATATAGAATGTATAGGTACATTTAAAAACACTCATTATAAATGACATATACATTTGAGGAAATTACAATATAACTGACAATTTACCTATAAAAAATTTACTATAAAAAGGGTGACGACAGTATAAACTAACACTGTACAATACAATCAAGTGTGCTTTGATATGAGTCAATGACACAAGTCAAAGCCCACTTGATCATAGGGTAAATTACAATCAGCTACACTGAAATTTGTTTTTATACAATCGACTAACCTAGAACATTGTACAGAAAAAAGATAAAATTCTTGGCCTACCATGCAATAAATTAATTCTTATGCTTATACAACTGAATAGTTATTTTTTAGAAAATTATACATAGGTACATACTTGAATAGACGTATAAGCACACACCAATTATATCACATTTAACAATTCTCTCATAAACAGGAAGAATTTTTTTAGAAGCTTGTAATAACGAACAAATGAAAAAAAATATATAAATAATAATATAACCAACATAAAAAGAACATGTAAAGTGGTGTCCTTAAATATTCGAAAACAGAAACAAACCATACATACATGACATTTACAAACCCATGTAATATTAAGTAAATCTTATTTCTTATTTGTTAAAAACACCCTGTTTATAGATTAACCACTCATTAGATACTGCCAACAAACTTTCATCCACAAAATATATTTGCACTTATCGACTAGTTCATACCTAAATTCTTAACAGTAGTTTTAAGAGATTGAACAATTTGATTTATCACCTACAATGCCGTTAGCTTTCTCGATTTCAGTTAATAATAAGTGAAACACGTCGGAAACTGACAGGTTTTCTTTCGCTGAAGTTTCTAGAAATATCGCGTTCCACTCTTCGGCTAGTTTCTTCCCGTCAGCAGACGATACTTGTCTCTCTAAATGAAGATCTGTTTTGTTTCCTACAAGGACAACAGGTACCTGGATTTTTCCTGTTATATCCAACAGTCTATCGTAAATAGATTTAGCCACTTCAAACGATTTCTGGCTTGTAATACTGTAGACCAAAACATATCCGTGAACGTCTATGCTGTACTGGGAGGGAAAAATCGAGTACTCATCCAAGCCAGCCGTGTCCATAAGTTTGATTTCGTAGTCTTGAGAGTTGATCCGAACCGTTTTCGTAAACGTATTCTCTATCGTAGGGTCGTACGAGTCCACAAACTGACCTTCGACGAACTGTATGCTCAAAGAGGATTTTCCCACGGACCTGTAGCCCATCACGGCGATTTTGCGTTGTTTTGGGGCGGGCATCTTGTTTCTTTGTTCATAGACGAGATATGGTCAAGTTAATGTTTATAATAAACACCACCGTTTCAAAGCTTTCGCAATTTTAAACGCTGAACAACTACGACGGAAAATAATAAACATATATTGACAGTTGTTATTTTTTTCTTGACAAATGACACAACGCAATGACGTAATCCTCTTCTTTTGCGTTTCTAGGGATTTTACTACGCGGTAGCTTTGCTCTCAAACCATAGGCGTACATAAATAAACATTAAACACAATAAAACACTTTTTTTCATAAAAAAATATATTTTAAAGCTGCCATTTTGATTAACGAGTGATATCAAATTGTAAAAATTTATATGATGTTAGCTAATTCGGCTAAGCCTTCTTCGCTGTCTAATTTCTTGGCGTTTTCTTTAATTATTTTTTCCACGTCGACCTTATTTAATTCTTCCTGGATTTTCTGTTTGATGGGTTTCTCGATGGCGTCCATGATTTGGTAACGGAGCAGATTAGGAACAACGTTCACTCCAAATTCGATAAGATAGTCGACTGTTCCTAGACCGTCGAAACGCACTTGAATATTGCCTAATTCCAGCTGAATATCGTCTAGGGAAGGTCTGTTTCTGGTATCCATACTTTGGCTTGCGTTGATTTGAACCTAGATGCAACCAGATATACATTTTTTAATATACAGGGTGACCCACTGTTACAAATAAGTATCAAATAAGCTTAATTTGGGCCAGAGATAAAGTGATAGCAAAGACTACACGTGATAGAGAGAACAAGCATGAAGAAAGCCTTCTTCATAATCAAATTTTGTGATTATACTGTATTTTTTATTTCGTATTTTGTAAACGAAACTTACTCTGATATATTCCACGCTAAAGGAAGCTGTTCCAACTTTGGACATAACGCCAGCTACCAAAGATACTTCCCAGTGTGTTGATCCGTACAGTTTTTGAGTTCCAACTTCAAGCAATGTATGTACTGTCTTGTTTCTTAGCTCGAAAATTATATCTTTGGTTCTAAATTAAAAATAAACTTTTTTTACATATTGTTCATCACTTAGGTTCATCATTTACATGACTGTATATGCAACCAACAATATCTAAATCCTAAGGGAAGGGATAAAAAAATGTGTAAAACTTCAAATTTAAAGACCCAATGCCAGTCCAAGAAGGTAACTTCTCCTATTTTCTACAGATCTTCTAATTGTAATATAAAATTTTCATTAAGATTTATAGAACATAAAAATATAAATAAGAAGAAGAGAGGGGAAATCATCAGGATTCAGTGTAGTATTAGTTGCATACCATTTTTTTTCAAACGTTTTACCTGTGAAAACTGGCTAATCCATTCAACCACGTATGCGTTAGGTAAATATCAAATACACCAACACTATTATTGTAATCGGGCACTAGGTAGGGATCGTATCCCATGTTACGAACTTTTTTCCTAACTTCTGACACCAGCTGATCGAAGGGCGATATGGAATTGGGGAAAGTTTGTGGGATTTTCGACACTTGCTTATTGATATCGTTTCTTATGTTCGTGTTGGCCTCGCTCAGGATGAACGGTTTTATCGAATCAAATACAAATGTACCGACGGAATTTATAATTCCCTAAAAAAAGTATGTTAGTTATAGTTTATAGTATTTTAATATACTTTTAATATAAGAATAATATAGATTATTGTGACGCCACTGAATGAAATTAACATACAACCAGTTATACACTCATAAAGAAATTGGCATCAAATGGCATAATATAGTCAGAGAAGAACAATCGTTTTATTCTTCTCTGATATAGCCCTTATCCTTATGTACACTTTATTTAAAGACTATATTGAACTATCTAAGCTATTTGTTTATTGCCATTCCTGTACATAGTAAATATATTTAAGATACAGGGTGTCTCCGAAATAAGTGCAAGAACATTTTCACAATATTTTTAAACTTTAAAAAGCATATTGTGACTATGTTGTATTTATTTATTATTTAACCGAACCAAGTCTTAAATTACTATGATAAAAGAAGCTTACTTGAAACATAGATGCGAAAAATCCCAGTCCCTGAAAGTCCATAGACATGTCCTTAAAAGTGATGTCCATGTTTATGTCCTGAGCTTCTAAAGACCCGTTCCTTTGCACTTCCAATGTAGCTATAGCTTTGATGTAGACCTTTTGTAGTTTCACTGTAAATGGTCCTTGGGCAGAAGAAAACCATGTCCTAAAAAAATAGTCATTATTATTAATCTAGGTGACAGTAACATCTTTGGACGAAGTGTTAACTATGTGAAATATTAACGTTTTTTTAAATTTCAATATTGCCATTATAGAACTTTTATTTCATGCTTGCATTTTTTCAATACAGTATTTAACCCCATTTTAAGCAAAAACTAAAATATTCTTTAATGTGTAAAAATTGGGAAGACTGTCTCAGATAATTTGCGCAAATTCGTTTAAAAAAAAATCGCAGTAAATCGAAAAATGTACACAAAAATCGTTAGCGTGTGTAATTCACAAATTTGGCTTGATAGTGTTGCGGACCCGTACCGTGTGAACTCGGCCTTAGGCTTGGCCACTCGGCTATGACCATACGCCGGCGACGCCGACCTTCTAGAACCGCTAAGAATTGACGGGACAAATCTGGATTGTCTGTTGCTCTCATATATAAGCAGACACCTGAGGCCTGAGGAAGATAGAGATAAATAACCGGTCGACGCGTACAGTTACAATCGCCGCGCTAATTCAAAATAAATTCCTGTTAGATAAATAATTAGATAAATTGTAAACAAGTTATAAATGGCTCTTTAAGTCTTTTAATCGTTATTGTTTTTGTTAATTAGTGTTAAATAAATTGTGACTAGCTATCCACACGGAACCGACGAAAAATGTAACAATAGATATAGATAGATATACAGGATGCTACATATTCGAGGTACGAGCATTGGTATCTCGGAAACCGTAATAGATACTAAGATGGTTAAATTGAGGCAAAGTTTCTCCTTGGGATGTTCACCAAGATGCCAACAAAAAAGTTTTAAAAATCTGAAGGATTGCTGAGTTTTTTGGAAAAACGTTTTTTTTTTGAAAATCAACTAATCTGTCGTTGCTTTTTAAAAAATCACAAAAACTAATTGCACATTCTCATAGCCACTTTATTAGGGCTATCTGATAGTATTTTTAGATTTTCAAATTAGTTGATAATCTGTGAGATACAGAGGCCGATTTATTTTTTTTAAATACGGACCTGCATTTTTTATTTCAGTTTTTGAAAGAACTTGGTCTTCTGATTCCTGAGTACAATGATATGCCACACTTTATACTTTTATTTTGTTTCGGACATTTGAATACAATTTATTTAAACTAATTTCCGGCTCTGATTTTTTTAAAATATTTACTCTATTTATCGTTACAATATTGATAAGCCTTCAAACTTAACAATGACGTGGGGTAAAACATTGAATACGGAAAATCAAATGCAATAAAAGATAATATAAAATAAATAATATAAATATAATATAATATAAACAATCAAATCATGTCCCCGGAAGATGGATTGGAAATGGTAGAACAGTATAATGACCATCGAGGTTCCTGGACTTATCGCCAAGGGGCGGGGCGAGGGCGGAGGGGTGTTGCATTACTTGACGTCATTTGCAAAAGTGAAATCAATATTATTAACATTTGTAATATAGGGTACAAAATGCATTCGGAAGTATAAGAAGATATGTTCACAAAGCAATAAATAAAATTGAACGAATAATAAATTTGTGCAATAGGAAGGGTGGTAACCCTTTCGAACATGTAGAGCGAACATTAGAAACTAGTTTGTAGAAGTTGATTTATTTATAATAACTACGATTAATATTATGCATATTATTACATCTTACAAGGCCCTGTATTTATCTGAGAGTTACCACAGTTTTTTAGATAATTTTGATATCTGCTGGTTGAGACTTAACGTTAAAATTTGTTTATCCCGATTGTTTTTTTCAGACACTTAAAAAATAAAAACTATCAGACAAAATAGCACCACCAACTAACTAAATGTGTAAGTAAAAACCAACTCAAAGAAAAACTCAAGAACTTGGAAGACTCCATCGTAACTTGGAATGGGAATCCTCCAACGGTCTAAGAAAGACACCCGAAGAAATTTCTTAGAATTTACGACCGAGAAAAATCAAAGACTTTTCTTGATTTAAGTGAAAACAATCTTCGGATTTTCACGGGATTTTTAACAGGACACTTCACCCTCAACGAACACCTCAGTAGATTGAAGCTATATAAGAAACAACGGCGATTGCAGATTCTGTGGAGAAAATGGAGAAACACAAGAACACCTCATCACTGAGTAGGCCGAGACCAAGGGCCGAGACGACAACTATTTCTGTAAAACCGTCTCAGATACTGGTTTTGTCAAAGGCCTGAGACTATATAATGAGTTATAAATCAAGAAAGAGGTACACGATGGATCTATAAGGTCGCGGCGATTAACTTTTCCCCTTCCATACAATCTACAATCTACAAATACCTTAAAGTATAATTTCCTACGACATCCATCTTGTCAATATTAAGACCGGCTTCGACCTGCATGGCTGCCACGTTGGCGATCACGTGATCCACCTTAAACTTCTTCAAGCCGTACAATTGGACGTCGCGAAAATTCATCCTGCCCACGGAGAAGGACTGGTTCATGGGCGGAATGGGCAAGGGATCGGGTATGGGCGTTCCCGGGATTCCCACAGGGTCATCCTGCTTGTAATGTTCGAGGATCACGTTGATGTAGTCGCTGAGCTTTTGTTCTGGGTCCGGGTTCTCGATGGTGCCAAACAATTGAGAAGGTGGATCTAGAATTTAAGAAATATTGCTATATAAACTATATACAGGATGGGTCTTAAATAAGTTCTCCTATTTTTCGGGGTGGTTAAAAGATAAGGCTAAAAAAACGGTGTCAAAGACGGCTGGGGAATAACAATCGATGATAATTTTGGCGAGGTCAAGCCCTAGACGTCATTTACTTGGTTCGTACTTATTTCGTAATTTATTTTTTAATGCCATATACTGCCTTAGGTTGTAATGAATTTTTATATTGTTTAAAAATAATTTTTAAATGGTGTAGTTTAAAATACGAGAAAAAATAATTTTTTGGAAATAGATTGGTGTGTCTGGAAGCGTTCTATCCTTTTTTAATCTTTATATAATTAGTGTTAATTTTGATAAGTAATATAGAGATTGACCTCGCCAAAATTATCATCGATTGTCATTCCCCAGGAGTCTTTGACGCCATTTTTTTCGATCATACGGTATATTTCGAAACCAGAAAGCCGATCAATAAATCAATTTTCAAATTTCAGTTCTACAGGGTTGTTCACCACATACGACACAGAGTCACAGATGGAGTATTGTAGCTAAATGATTAGATTTTTACAAATTGCAAGTTTTGGGTTCGTTGAAGTAAAGATTACAGTTGGTTAGGTTGTTTATTTAATTATTAGTTACTAGCCTGTACATTTTGTACATTTGTTGCTTTGAAAACAATCTAAAATGTCAATATTCCATGGGTATATTGATTAATGAGGTCTAAATTATAAGAAAATGCATTTTCTATGAAAACTTGAAGGGATAGGTAAAAAGTGGTATAATACAATTTGATAGACAATTAAATTATGCATCTGATTCTCATAAAATATATAAGGCGTTCCATTTAAATTAAACAAGTTATTGCCGTTTAAAGCTAGAAATTATTTAAAATAAATTTTTAGACACTCTGTATGAGGTAGTATTATTTTTATTATTGCAACACAATAACTGATCAATAAATAAACTTCAGTAAATATTTTGTATTAAAAACTTTGATACCCTTGGAGAAATGAAACCTTAAAATTTTTACTGCAATTTCACAAAATTGAAAATATTTCAAAAACGGTAAGGTTTAAGTGTAATAAACCTTAATCAAATTTACCTTTATTTTAATTGTAGAAACTAAAAATGTAATAATATACAGGGTGTTCCGTTTAAAAAATACAACTTTGATATTTTTTATTTATTTGGGACACTCTGTATCTTGTAAAAATATTTTTAAATTGTAGTTCTAATAGTCCTTCAACGAACCCAAAACTTACAATTTGTAAAAATCTAATCTTTTAACTACAATATTCCGTGTCGTATGTGGTGAATACAACCCTGTATACACCATTTTATTCGTTACCCAAAAGGCTATCAAATTTCATAAAATTTTCGTATTTCGAGTAGATTAAATTTAGAGAAACGAAAACACAGACAAAATTTAGTGGTTCTCAAAAATATAGCAATCTTTTTTTTATATTTCCAGTTAAATATCTGGGTTATATTGAACTACTTAAACGGTAAAGAGAAAATATGTTCTTTTGTGAGATCAGCACTTAAAATATGTGGACTTATTTAAGACTCACCTTGTATATAATATACAAGGTGTTTTTCAAAATATCTTAATTTAACTTTGTAACCATAACATTACATTATTTTGTGATTCTATGTAAAAATATTTGATTTTTAAAAGCCGCTTTAAAAATGCTGATGATGAACATGTTACATACATTAAAATATCATTAACTTATGATATCGAACTATTTATAATAAATTAAGACGTAAATCTAAAGACATACCAAAAAAATTAAGATTTATTCTTGAATAAAATAGGTGTATGTAAGAAATTATAACATTTATTTTATTTTACTTACCTTCTGCTGTAATACTGCATACTAGAAAACATAACAAACTACTTAAATATAAATAATAATTCATATTGTACTATTTAAGATTGTTTTTTTGAAAAATATATAGGAACTACACGAGAATCTAGTCTCGTAGTTTAGATTATGTCAAAGTTCACGACATGCTGCCACTGCTAACTTCTTGTGTTATCTGAATAAGTGACGTTTATCAATTTAAATGCTTTGAGTAATGGGTTTCGGTTTAAAAGAGATAAAGCTGTTGTTTCTGACAAATAACAGTCTTGGGAAAGTCAATTTTACGAAATAAATTTACCAGAAAAAATTGATACAGATTGATTTTCATTGTGAATATGTTATATTTATTAATACTTTAAAATTTCATTAATAATAATACAAGAATTGTTCAGAGGTGGTTCCTATATAGGGTGTTCCTATATAGGATGTGTAAATATGCGCAAGTATTTTCACTTGTAGTTATACTGTGACTATAGAAACAGGCCAATGAGCCATGAGGTTTTCTTTGCAAAAACATTTTTTTCTGGTATGTTAAAAACACTTCCTATACACAGGGCGAGTCTTAAATAAATGCAAATATTTTCAGGGCTGGTGGATCTCGATAAAAGAGACATATTTTCTCTTTAACGTTTATCAAACAAGTCCAAGATAACGGAATTATTTTCCTTTTGAAGAAAATTAAAAAAAAATTGCTTAAATTTTGAGAACCACTGGATATTTTCTAGGTTTTCTGTCTTGTAAATTTAATCTACGATGTTGTTATAATATTATCAATATACTATGTTTTTAACTAAAAATTTAAAAAAGAATCCAAAAACTTTGTCAAAAAATTCAAAATTTTCGCGAAAAATAAACCATAAACCATAGTCGTCTTTCTGGGATCGAAATATACTACCCCTGAGCCACAATAGGCCCTCGCGGCCGCAGTGGAGGGTCCCACCTGGCACCCACTCTTAGTCAATATAATACTACTCCTAAAATTTTTTGCACTTCTTTAAGACTCACTCTGTATATCATGTATTATGATGTACAGATTATCTATTATGCCCGGCATAGGACAGTCCCTTAATGTCGAGGGAAAATAATAGTCTGTCCAACGAAATAATGCCATACAATGACATATTTTAGTCACACTCTTATTAGATCAGGTATATTCCACAAAAATATGGACAAAATTCGATAAGGAAAATGATAAATAAAACACAATTCTCGTATTCTTTAGGAGATATAAAGATACGAGAATAAATTTGGGCATTCTAGACTTCTTAAATGCTGTGCCAATACGACCAATACCAAAGATCATTTATTTATATCTAGTTTTATAAATTTACTAATAACTTTCCTTTTAGAACAACCCTCGTATGTAAATATATATTACTTATTGATCTGCCCTTCCTAAAGAAATTTCTTCATTCTCCCAACCTTTATCTCCTTGTTTTACTTCAACTTTTATTTATAAACAAAATATATAAATTTTCGAAAAACATTCGTTTATAAAATATACATTTACAAGTAGAAAAATACAAACACTAATAATAGCCCTAGTAAAAACAGTAAAAAATACAATAATTCATAACTGTACATCTCCTAAATACTGACTTTGTCGTTTCTTCGGTGCCCTCCTCAAACTCCCTAAAATATTGAGTATCTCCGACACTGCCTTGGGCGTGTCCCTATCCTTCTCCATTTTACCCTCCTTCTTCGACTTTTTCAGGGTAAATTTACCCTCTTTTATAGCATTTATTATGTCGTGGTTCACACCAGGAGGCGCTGGTTTCTTGTCTGGACTCGATTCCTGTACCCCGATGGTTTTGGCCAGGTCCTCAACGGTTGCTCTACTTCTTCGTCGGCGTAGTGGTACGACTGGAGGACAATCGTTTGCTGCGAACGGTGGTGGGGGTGGAGGAGGCGGTGGAGGAGGTAGAGGAGGTGCTTTTAGTTTGGCCTCCGCAGCTTCGGCTCGGGAAATGGCAGATTTCAGTTCTTCTTCGACTAGTTTTAATCTTTCTTCTAGGATTTCTATGTGGGAGTCGTTTTCCTGGTCTTGCTCGAAGCGATCCTGTAAGAATGGACAAATTTTTAATAAATAAAAAACGTCCAAATATTCAGAAACTAATATGAGCAGATCACAAGAGAGTAGTATGAAAACGAAATATCTTCGTGCCAACATTTTGTCTCTCATTTTGAAAATCTTCATGTTTTGTGCGTTTGACAGATGAGCAAATACAAGCTCAAGACTTCCTTGATCTTGGCCTTGCAGTCTAATAAGTAGTCTTAGTCTTGGTATTGCAGGGTCCTTGTCTGATATTATTGGGCGTCTTACAATATATGCGCTGATAAGTTGCGCAGGATTTGTTGCTAGGTTGTTCCATGGCAAAATACGTAAGTTTAACTGGTATACATGATGAAGTAGGAAACTTTTTAAACTATTCTCGTATATTTCAGATACCTAATAAAGACTCTATTTTTTACTAAACATACCTGTAAACTATTCAATTCTTCTTCGTGTCGACTTCTCTCGTCTTCAAGCGTTCGTTTTAAGTTTTCGATTTCTTGTAATAATATTAACGACTCAGTACCATTGCTGTCATTCAATCCTTGCATTATCAGAGTACTTTGATGTTTCAAAATGTTCCTTTCTCGTTTTTGTTCTCCTGCTTCTTTTCTAAAACAAACGACAATACATTAAAAACAATATTCCACAATTATTTTAACAAATTGTTTTATGACAATGGGACAGTAGTTATCAGTGTTATACTGATTTGAAATTAGTTAACAATTTACATGCGAATAGTTCTGAAGAACTACACTCACAAATTAACGAGCTAAATACAACAATAAATAAAGTGTCTCAAAATGAATTTTGCAAGAACTAAAGTAAAACTAAAGTAAATAACACAACAATGGAAATAGAAGAATATATATTTGGGACAACTAATACACAGCTCAGGATTTCTACTGCGAATCGATGGAAGAAACTCAATCATATTCAAATATGGAATATCACTTTATCTAAAGAAGAAAACATTCGATCAATGTGTACTACCAGTGATGAACTATACATGCGAAACTTAGACGCTTTAAACCGACATCATAAGGAAACAGGTCATCCAATGTTCGTTAGCAGGTCATATAATGTTCGATGGAACGAACTATGCTGTGAATAACAAAGAAATACCCTAAAAAAGGAAGTGAATACTACAAAACACCCAGGTAACAGAATGGAATCCTTCAAGCGACCTGGCAAGAAGGATGGACAACAGATGGACCACAAAAATCACAGCCTGGTACCCAGGAGGAATTAGGAGACCCAGAACATCAAACCTAAGATGGGACCATAATATTACAAAATTAGCAGGGATAACTTGGACTCACATATACATCAGTAGATAATAATAATGATGACGATATCAGAAAATTAATTCATTTAACCAGAATGTGCAGAATGACAATTTTACAGATTATTGGAATTTAATCTGTTTAGCTGATAAGCACTGTATCTAGAAACTTACTTGAGTAAAATAATATCATTTCTCTGGTTCTCTTCAATTTCTTTCAGATCTTCCAATTCTTTTTTCATCATTTCTGATACCCTTCTGAGTTGTTGATGTTCCGTTCTGAGTTCTTCCAGTTCAGCTTTGAATTTTCTGTTCTCCGCTTTACGTAATTCCAGCTCCTATATTAGTAGAAAAAATATAAATTATTATGTATGTCTTGCACTGGTTGGTCTTGGCCTTGCATATCTAACGCTGGTCTTTCTCTTGCTCAAGACCAAGACCGCAAAATCAAGACGAGTCTACTATGGTTGAAACAAAGCTATATTTACCTCGTTAAGTTTCATATTTTGTTCCAACGTTTGAAACTCGGACTGGCGGACAGTATCCAGTTCAGTCTGTAGCTCCGCAACTTCGGTGCTGAGTTGCTTGATGGTTCTATTCAAGTTTTCAATGTCAGCATCATTGGATGATTCGCCAGCATCCACTCCCTCGTCAACTGCATCCTTGTCACCCAAATAGAGAGTTTTTCTCTTCAGTTCTTTATTTTCTTTGTACCATTTGGATGCGTCCTTCAAAACACTGAAAAACAACACTTCATAAACTTATTTTGGTCAGTAGAAATTGATGAAAGATCAATTTCCATAAGAATGTTGAATAATGATAGCTTTTTTTACAATAGTTTGTAAAAATATCGAAAATTTACCTATTCGATCTTACGTTATTTCTTAAGCTTAGTGCAAAATTTATTAACAAACCCATATAAAATACAATTGAAAAAACTTTGTGGTATTTTGATACAGGTTGTTCTTCTAAAATGAAGTCCATATAATTCTTGATTTTTTTTGGAAATTTATTGTCAATTTTGAAAAATCAAAATTACTTCAAGGTGTTTTATGACACAGATTAAAAGAAAATAAAATACAGGGTGTAATAAATAGTCTACCAAACTTCAGCGTTGTTCTTTATCGAAAAACTTACCTTGCCATAGCCCCGGTCTCAGTTTCATACTGATTTTTGAGCCTCTCGTATTCTGTCCATAAATTTTTCGATGCCGTAGATAATTTCGAGTATTCTTCATTTTTCTCGAAAAGTTCTATTTCCAGTTGCTCGTTTTTTTCTTGAAGATTGAGGTGCTTCTTTTCTAAGTCGTTGAGGCCTCGAAGAGCTATAAAAAAACGAATAAAATGTATAATTTTTGTCTTAATTTTATCTTAATATAATAGTCTAATTGTTTCTTTTTTCTTTAACCATTAGAATTATATCCATATATTTTTTTTCCTTTCTTGGGTATGAGGTTTTGTAATAAATTGAAAGATGGAAAACTTTTTTTTTATTATGCGACGTTTCGCTCCAACAAAGTGGTTTTTTTCAGGCATTACTTTATTCTAAAAACTTGAAGTCTTCTTGCTAGCACCAGTCTGTATAAATGAGTGTAAGTGAGTGTACTACAACTCACTTACACTCATTTATACGTTACATAATAAAAAAAAAGTTTTCCATCTTTCAATTTATTACAAAACCTCATACCCAATAAAGGAAAAAAAAGTATATCTTAATATAATGTGTGACATAGAAATTCATTGACATACATCATCAACATATTGAAAACATCGTTTAGCAAAGTCTCCTGTAAGACGTGTTGTGTATCGTCAATTAAGTGAATTTGAACTAGGTAGAATAATATTAGTCCTTTCGGGAAATTGAAAACAGGATTGGACGGAATGCTACAACAGTGATGCGATGTTGGATAGAGTGGTCTGTCTGTACATCACCACCATAAACGTCGTAGGGCCACCAGGTCTTTAAGAAAAACCAGTAATCGCGAAAAAAGACTCAGTGCCTTTAGAGACAGCTTCAGCACAAGTAGAGTAATCGGATATGAGTGGAGGGTAGCTAGGAGTTAACAGATATTCATGAGATCGATTTATCGAGAAACTAGAGCTTATGGGCTACAGTCACACCGTTCGCGATTGGTATTGCCATTAACCCATAGACATAAATAGTTAAGTCTAGCATGGTGTCACTAATGGGCTCATTGGAATCAGGAGTAGAATCGGGTCGTTTTCAGTGAAGAGTCACGGTTTTTGTTTGTGGACTCACGATGGTCATAGAAGAGTTCATCGCTGACATGGAGAAAGGCGCCAATTTTGCATGGAGCGTGATACTGCCCATACTAGAGATGTTATGGTTTGGGGTGTCATAAGAGTTGACGCATGCCTCTCTACTTTTTTGGATAGAAACATAAATTTGGTATGTCATCCACAGGGAGTTGGAGAAGTGGAATTTTCTTTTTGAGGGTGCGTTCCAAGCCCCTGACCTGAAAATTCTCCCAGTACTGTTCTTCAACGGTCTAAGACACTCGAAAATATTCCTCAGAACTTATGACCGAGAAAAATCAAAGATTTTACTTGATTTAAGTAAAAACAATCTTCGGATTGTCACGGGGTTTCTAACAGGACATTGTCTCCTCAACGAACACCTCAGTCGTCTGAAATTGAGAAACAACGGCGAATGCAGATTCTGTGGGGAAAATGAGGAAACACCAGAATACCTTATCATTGAGTGCGCCGAGACGACGACCGTTCGTGCCATGAACTTACGGCTGATGTCGAGGATGGAGAGCTGGCATCTGTGGAGCCGTATCAGATACTGAATTTTGTTAAAGCTCTGAGACTGTATGATGAGTTATAACTCGTTATAACTCAAGAAAGGGGAACAGATCTGTAAGAGGTCGCGGTGATTAACTCCCCTTCTAAACATTCTACATTCTACGTGAAGGTGCTATTAGTAAATTTTGCAGAATTCGTTTCAATAAATTTGTTTGAAAATGTCATCGATTATTATTATTCATATTTATCCCAAGTACTTCTCAAAATCTACTGTGTGTTGCAATGTCTATGTCATACCATATATCTTTTATTACCTTTTTCCTTTTCTGAGAGTAGGGTTTTCCGTTTTTCTTCACTTTCGTCATATTTCTGTCTCCACCTGTGGGCCGCGTCGTTGGGTACTTTAGACGGGGTACCATTTGGTGTGGAACTCTGTCTACTCAACTGTCTACGTAACGGAATGTTCGAACTGCCATTGTATCTGGATACCGATATGGTATGCCTATTGTTATTCATTCTTCATTCGCACAAGAGTCTATAAAAATAGAATAATGTCGCATTTATTGATACTGTTAATCGTTATAGTTTTCATATAATAATATGTAGTTAGTATTTTATTAAATAAAATTATTATTATTTTGTAGTAATATCAAAATATGTACTAGTGATGAGCGACTGGTCTTGGTATTGCAATTAGGCTTGGTCTTGTCGAAAAAAAACGGCGTCCAGTTGGCTTGGAAATTACGATCGATGACATTCCCCATATAATTTTATATATAAAATGACAGCGATCTTCATTTCATAGCCATCGCCTTTTTTTTAAATCATATTGTATATATGTTACGTGTGGTAAATTAATTGATGGTTTCGTGCAGGGTGTATAAATCTGGAAATATATTATGCCATGGCTTGAATTTTAGTGAAATTATCGCGAATCTTAGAAAAATACTTCAAAAATAGTTACTTGTGAAAAAAAAAACGTGAAAACGATTTCAGTATTAATGTATAGGGTGCAATGATATAAATCAACTTGATTTAAATCGGACGGATAAACGGATTTTTTTTATTTTAATCATGGATTTAAATAAAAAAATCAACTTGTTTAAAAACTTATATATATCTATTCATCTATTAAAATGTTGGACCAATTTTTGAAGTTATTTCGTGTGAATCCATTCTTCTAAATGGCAGAGATTTATTTAGAAATTGTGAAGTATCGGGAATCCGGTATTCGAATACCTTTCATTCGCAAACTAGTGCAGAACCAGTTTCTTCTGATGTCAGGTTATATTTTTATTCTTCAGGACTATAATCAATGTCAAAAAATATGCTGGTGTCAAAGACATCTTTATATCTTTTCTGAAACAACTGAATATTGATCAAGCTAATTTCTGCTTTCCCTAATTTATCTTCTATGTTAGTTCATTCTAAATTTGTACCGACATTTTGTTCTGCAATGAGTAGTTTGCACTTTGAACATTATAGATGGTACTAATTTTTATCTCGACTTAAGACAGTCATGACTATTCCAAAAAAATCCCTTTGATCTAAGCGGGCGATTTTTTTGCGGAAATAGGGGTATCGGCAAAGTTTACAGAATAAAATATTTCGGTGACCGATGTGGAAAAAAGACACGCGCCGGCGCCGCACGCCGGCGCTGTAAAAATGTTAATATTATCGATATCGGGCAGATTTACGAAGATTTAGCCATTTAGGAATAGGACTTTAAATAGAAAATTGATTAAAATATAAAAAATCCGATTGAAATAAAAAAAAATCGATTTTTTTTCAAAATCTTGATTTTTCTGCACCCTGATTAAGTAGCAATGAACTATGAAGTCCGCTTAGAGTTAACTAATTGATTTTTATCCTCACATTTTCGGATATATTTACCACATGTCAAAGATAATATTATTATTCTACACTTATAAGTAAGGTATAAGTGCTTCGTTTTATTGTTCTGACTCTGACGCCAATTTTATTAAGCACATACTGTATTAATTAAGAAATAAACTGTGGTAAGAGCTTGTTTAACAGAAATCCGGGAAACTGCGTGCTATATTTAACAGGAAATAAATTCGGAGATAAAGATACAGTAGAATTGCTGCTTGCATTAGGAGGCTCTTGCTCTTAATGCAAGAGAATAACCTTTTTTTATTTTTAAACTAGCCGGGATTTTAAGGTACCACCTATGAATCACCGGTAGAATTCTTTAATTAAAACCATTTTTTTCTTCTATTTTTAGGTATTCTACAGTGGCGACTCGTGAGGTCTGTAGATTATTTTTCTTTTCTTTAATTAAGTGTTGAATAGAAAGTAAATAAATAAATAAATGCCTTTATTGTCTAATTTTTTTTACAATTTGTAGACAAAGGTAAAGCAAACAAACAAACAAAAGAGAATACAAAACAAGTATACAAATTACATCATCAGTCTTATTATATATCAGAATACATTTACAAATGTTTACAATGTCAAAGAATAAAGAAATAAAAATAAGATTCAAAAATTTTTAATAAGTTTATAGTAAATATAGTAATAGCAAATATTAGACCAGTGTTTACAAGATCAAATTCGATTATCAAAATATAAGTCATTTACGGAGTAGAAAGCCGTATCTAGTAAGTAAGATTTCAATGCTTTGCGAAATGAAGAAAATGATGTTATGGATTTGATTTCAAATGGCAGGTGATTGTGCATTTTTTTTCGAGTTGTATAATATTGAACTTTCAACTAATTCTGAGCGTGGGGTAGGTAGATAAAGATCTTGCTCCGCGTTCCTGAGTGGATAAGTGTGAGATGGCCTTTCTTAAGAAGCTGATACATGCTTACGTATTAGGCAAACGGATTCAAATATAAATAAGAAAGGAAGAGTTAATATTTTTTATTTTTTAAAAAAGGCCTGGCAATGAGTTCTGCTGTTTAGTCCCAGTGAATATTGAACAGCTCTCTTCTGGAGCTTGAAAGTGCAGTCAAATTGAGTCACAAAACACGTACCCCAGAATGGAAGGGCATATCTGAGGTGCGACTCAAAAAGTGCAAAATAAACAGTTCTAGCCACTGACAAGTTAAGCTCCTTAGAAACAGATCTTAACGCAAAACAGGCAGAGCTCAATTTTTTCGAGAAAGCCTCGAATGCATTTCCCATTTTAGAGAATACAACAAGCCATAAGAATTTTACAGATTTTACGATGTCAATGGAGGTGTTGTTAAGTACAAAAGGTTGCAGCGAGTTTTTATACGACAAAGCTTTAGTTTTAGAAATGTTGAGACTCAGGAGATTCGAATCGCACCAAGATTTAATGGTGATTAAGTCATTTGATATAATCCTATGAAGTGCCGTGACGTTTTTGTTGCTCCAAGTGAAGCTAGTGTCGTCCGCGAAAAGACATATTTTACCACTGATGTTTATGTTTGCAATGTCGTTAAAAAACGAAGTTGTATTGAATACTTTACACAAATGTCTTTTGATACACATGATTTTAAAAATTCTTTGTGGCACTGGAATCATAAATACATAACATAAAATTTCTTTAATCTCATTTTTTGAACAAATAAAAGCTTTAAAACAAATTCTACCATTATGAAATAAACGAATCAAAACAAATGTAAAAATTAACTATTTTTTTTAACTTTCAGAAGACGCCACTGATGTTCGGAGATATAATTTTCCTAATCTGAAACGTACTTATTCTAAAATCAGACCCGCCAGAATACCGTTTAATTTAAAATAGATTTTTTGGTAAACTAAAACAGTCTCAGCGTTAAACGGATCGGTAGGTATAAGAAGTCATCTTACTTAGTCAATAAATTTAATAAATATTAGAGCTATATATAAATATATTTGATGCCAATTAAACTTTTAGTTGCGTAATCGAGTGCGCGATTTTTAAATTCATTGTTGCCAACCATGGACATATTCAGTAACTGGAATTTAAATTTCGCGCTGGTGGATCGATTCAGGTGGTAGCTATGTTGCAAAAAATGACAAGTTGCCTCATTTATTTGTTTATTTCCTGACATTGTCATTCGTTTTGACACTTTACTTTTGTATTACGAGTTTATGGTTTAAATAAATAGTGTTGTGATACTTTAAGCTTAAAAATGTTTACTAGCAGACCTTGCAGTCGAACATTGCGCTTTTTAGAACCTCTTTTAGTGCGAAGTGTACAAGAGAGCTTAATAGCCGTAAAAAAATCAATCATTGCAACTTTATTAGAATATTTTGAACGGGAAAGCGGTAGTAATGACCCTTGTGAGTTTTTTTTATGTAAATACTGTTTATATATTCATAATTAATTTATTTTTGTTTCCTAATTTATTTTGATTAAAAAAAATATATAAAAGTGGGCAACGCTGTGCCGGTCAAGCTTAATCAAATGACTAAAAGTTTATTTGGTATGAACTGTATAACAATAATAAAGTACTATCGTAATACAATTTTAATCATTTACCTATTGATGCTCTTATCAACACATTGTTATTGAATATATTGTGACAAGTGACAATGTAACAGCTGTCTTACATCCTAGAAAAACTACTCCACAATAAATTATTATGACATTCATTTTATTAATAATCGAAAATTTTCAATATAAAAACGAATTGCATCTGAATTTATCAGTAATGACGATAGGAATTCCGACGTAAGCAATTTAAGTAAGTACAATCCTCTTTGTTTTGAAAAGAAAAAAATTGGGACCGGGAGGCACGTATAGCCGCGCATACTAAAATATGTTAATAAAAAGTTGGTAGCCAGAATTTTTCCAATTTTTTTTATCTCAAAAACTGCGACTTTGACTGATTTTGATGTTATTACAAATTTTGTTGCAAATATTATTCCTAATCTTAAATTGAAAACCGCGTTTCGCTAGCTACAGTAATTTCGGAGTTTTTTTTAACCCGCTCCCATACCCCCTTACCAACCCTCACCCCCACCAAAAACTAATGGCCAGATTCTCGGGTGCCACAGTATTTTTGTGCCAAATTTGGTTAAAATTGGTTCAGCGGTTTTTGAGTTATCGTGTTACAGACGGACAGACGGACAGACGGACAGACGGACAGACGGACAGACGGACAGACGGACAGACAGACAGACAGACATACACCATGAAAATATTTGGTATTTAGGTCATTTATGACCCAAATAACTCATTTTGAGTGAAATTAAAAAAACAATTTTTGCCGATCTTAATAGCTTACCATACCTGTTGGTATGGTCGGCTAAAAAGGTTAATAGAATAATACGTTAAATTCAAAGTCGAATTTCCCCTTCTATCTTGGAGAAAAAAACTACGTACGGCACTGTTTACTGCCAATTTACTAGTCCTCGGCTTCTTAACCCACGTTATTAAAACAAGCTCGAACAAATTACAACAATTACTGTTTAGAGCTTAACAACAATAATTGAAAAATTGTCTTAAATGATTTTTTTTAAAAGGAGATACCAAGGAACATTTTTTTGAAGCTAGTAACATTTTTTAAGAGATGATTATGAGAATTATAATAGAACTGATACTTATAAAGAGTCTTTAT